TACGGGAGGTTCTGCTTCGGCTGGTCTTAGTGAGCCTGCGGGAGCGGTCTGGGTTAGAGTCGCGGTGCTGCCATCACTCTGAAACTCCTCTTCTTTCCTGTTAATATTGAAATGATAGATGGCGTTCCATAAGTATTATTATTAGTAAAATAGGATTCACTTATGATGTAACATCTGCAAGAAAATTGTTGGTAGTTATTCTTTCATTTGTTCGCGTAGTGTCAGTCACTGCTAGTAATCTGTATAATAACGGGAAATATTTTCCCGTAATTCCTCGTAATGCCTTTTGTTTTCCAATAATTGCTGTTGTTTCAGGAAATTTCTCCATAATTCCGTTTATTGCTCCATAATTCGCGAATTATTTCCATAATTCCACGTAAACTCAGAAATGTACCGCAATTTTTACTAGCTAGTTAATCCTTTAACGGACTACCTACATGATCAAATTGTTCTGCATGGCTAGTTTTCCCTTCTACTCCACCTTTGTAAACTATATTCAGACCTCTGCCTCACAAGGGCCAGAAGTTAAAGATCACGTGCTGGCATTTTTTTCCGCGAGATGCAAAACAAATCCGGATAGATGAATAAAAACAAGTAAAAATGGTTGGCCGTCTGTGGTCGAACAAACTAAAGCTATATTACTAGTTTGGTGGATAGCATCTATCTATTATGTCCAAAACTTGGAGATAATACAAAGATACATTATAAAGGGGATGTTTAAGAATCCAAAGCTATATCCAACCGAGTGATTGTTCCAAAAGTCAAATATTTTTGATACCCTTCAACTATACTTATGCACGAAGTATAAGTATGTGAATGCTCTACTGGCAGGAATGACATGAGAGTAGTGAAGTCTAATTATCACACATAAAAACCTTATACATGTCTTAAAACCAGAAAAAAAATGTCTTACAATGGTCTTATAACTTTGTGGGACTTAGGTGTTGTAATTTGCTCCTTGAAGAATTACAACAAATCAACTCACTTGGACTATTTAATGACCTTATCAAGATCTCAGATTAGACAACATTCCCGAATATGTAACTTTCACCAGAATTGAGACAGTAGATATAGTAAACCAAAAACACGGAATAGTCATTATTCCTACATATGCCATTTTACCTGGATTAAAACACAGCATATGTTACATTAGAATAAGGAAAACGATTCCGTGTTGTGTTGCCGTTAGTATAAGAGTATTTTGTATTCTTTTTTAACCGCGCGCGAGGGTCACCTTTCTGCGGGTCTTTGATTTCCTTGTCTGGATATAGTTTTTTTTGAGTATAGTGTATATTTTGAAGACAAATAAATATTATCATGTAATTTTTTACAATAGCATCAGAATCGACGGCATCTAGCAGCCACAGTGGTGGCCCGACTGACAATGCGAACTGGAATTATCAGGCAGTATCTTGGCATCTGATGGGAAAACATTCTGATCCAGATTTCTTGCATAATCGTATTTAAAAACGAACCTGCATGTTGCCAGACCCAATCTTTTTGTTTTTGGGGTTTTAAGGATATTCTGAACAAAAAAGGTTATTCAAAACTTTTAGAGATATAAGCGATTCAGCGTTTAAGAAAGTTCGAAATATGCCATTTCCGACCCCAAAAAACAGTATCAAAAAACGAAAATTTTAATGATTTTCAACTCCGCAAATATTCTTTAGTACCTTTGTCTAAGCCCAAAAGCATTTTAGGATATAAGCCTTTGTTTTTTCATTGTTACCCTAGCGCGAGCTAGGGCTGTATACTCAGCATGCGAGAGATACCAACACCTCCTGAAATACTTTGGGAGTTTGCTAGTTACCTTAAGAAATACCTGGGAAGTGCGGCAACATTAAAGGTTTCGTTTTTTCACATTGTTTTGCGGGATCAAAGATGGCATATTTTTCACTCTTTCAAATATTGTATCGCTTATATCTTAAAAACTATCAAATTAGGAAGAAGTTCTAAAGCGCTTTTTGGTTCAGAATGCCTTAAAAAAATCGAAGACACTTTGACCGGAGCTCTTTTTAAGCATAGAATATGCCATTTTTACGGTTTTCCAGACATGAAATCGCTTATAACTCGAAAATGTTCAACTTTTAAGTTGCTGGAGGTCTTTTATGTTCAGAATGGTCGATAAAACTTGAAAAAAAATGTTCGGACAAAAAACATTGTAATTTATTAAAAAAATGCCTTAGCAAATATTCGGGTCACCGTGCGGTATATTAAATGCTGAAAAAGTCGGACAAGAGTTATCGTTGTTAAGACATAATTGGATACGATTCTTGTCGTGATATTACCCTTTAATCTCGAAAAAATAATCTTTCATATTCAAATAAATGAGGTTTCTTTCTGCCATACGATGTATCCATTATGAACTCTGAACACCACACATCACACACATCAAGGCACAAAGTGAAAAGTATGAGTCTGTAATCATTTGGTGCTGCAGTAGTGCAGCAGACGGCAGGATTTCAGGAGAGTTTTTCCTTTGGCTTTGTGAAAATCGCACACCACGGGAAAAATGACGTCTTAATTGCAGCTACGTTACATCAAAGTTGTCGCTTTGCTGCGTCACCCATTGTTCGGAATCGTTCGATTACTCCTTTGGCTTTACTCTACTTCAGTGTCGCAACCAGAATTTTTGCTGAAAAAAAGAGTAGGGATCTTGTCACCCCTAGAGGTTTTGGAAGGCCTTTATTGTGTTCACTCCAAGCTTTGCATGACGCAAAATGCTTATATACTTCTATCTTCCTGCGGTATACCGCGCTTATTGGACAGACTGACTGAATTCCAAAAGCCAAATCTATCAAAGGCCTTCAAATAGATTAGTGCTTTAACCGGTGGGAAATGCTGAATGTTGGGTAGTCCATGCACCCCTGTTGCTGGTTGGCGACTAGATAAGTATTGTTTTGAATAGTCAAAAGCAAAGAATGGCCATTTCCATGTAGAGAAGAGCATTATCAGAGTGAAGTAAAATGCAAACTATTCCCTGAAACTTTAAACCGCATTTCCTGTATGGCAGCTGAAATCTCAAAAAAAAACACACAACCACTGTTGTAAAACCAAGTTAATTTTCATGTCGTTAGATTTCGTCACAAGGATTGTGGCCTTCTTGCAACCGTATAGAAATATTTTAATTTTACATTAATGACCGGTACCGTATCTACTAAAAGTAAATGTTCCCAACTCAAATCGTCAGCGCTAGGAATGTGCTTAATGATAAGCAATTTGAATTATTTGAGAAATGGCCATATTTATTGTGAGACATAAACTCTAGTTACGTACATACATATATTATATGGTATTAAGGCTCGATTTTACTATTGACCGGTAGGAATCAAAATTTGCGCATTTGGCACAACCTGGACCAATGAGAAGGCGTGCTTGAAGTAATCATCCTATGAGTTTGTTCGATGTGAACTAGAGAGAAATTATACGATTTCAGTAAGATGGGCTTCTAATTCTCATCTAAAATCAAGATATAGTCCATATGTCACATCACTCAGCTACAAAAACTTATTTCTCATTTGTGTCTGGACACATGGAAACATGGATCAATTAATTCAAACAAGCTTTTGCTTGGTTGAATGTGTAACCCACGCGCTCTTGTGCCTCGGTCCTAAGAACCGCTTTTATAATTATATCCGATACTTCAGTGATCGAACAGAATTTGGAAATAACATATCTTGCAAAATTTGCGACAAACAGAATAGTATTGAAAATAAAAGTCGCGAGGTTCGAAAAAAGTCACGTAAAGGTGAAAATCAAAGTTACATTGAACGTGGCCTTGACCATGACCTTAAAGGTTTCGCGGTGATAAAGGATTAAGGGGGACGTGAAATTTCTGAAGGCACAAATACGAGGATTCTGTTGCAAATTCACTTGACCTCTGAATGACCTTTAAATTAAATGTCAAGTTCATTGGCAAGAATACACTTGAACGTAAAATTCGCATACCAGGAATTGAATATAGATATTTCCTGTTTAACATTAATTTGATAGTCGGATAACCTTGACGGTTCATAGCCAAGGTCATGGACATGAACAAAGTGTTGTGCTTTTAACATTTTCCGTATCAAAGCCAGGGGGGTTTCACTTAATGAAACCGTCTTGTCCTTTAAGATCAAAGTCAAAACCATACGTTTAAGGTTACCTTTCGTTAATGGTTTTCAAACCTTACAAATTTGTTCGTCTGCGTTTTCCTTTAAAAAAACATATTTTTCGAAATATTTTGGACACCCTCAAATACTAATGAAGGTCATAGTCAAGGTCAACGACTTGAATGTAAAATGTATCGTCCTTTGCGTTTTCAGTAGCAAAAATGGAGCTTCCTGTTTAAGAAAACTGTCTTAACGTTCAAATCACTTTGAAGATCATAGTAAGGGTCACGTTCCGGGTCACCATTGGATGGCCCTTTTCAAACCTCACAACTCTGTTTTAAAACGCTTTTTTTTTCTTCTAGGAAACGTGTTGTTCGAGATGTCTTGATGCACTCACCATGTTTTGAATACAGCTGCTTTTTTAAATCTTTTTTTTAAATGTTTCCAGGGGTTCTCCAGAGTGCATCATGTTATGACTTTCACAGACATGTTACGACCAACGCAAAGGCCAACGTGTTCGCACCCGATTATGTGTTAAAAAAATGGCGGATATTGCCGATATGTCGGTTTTTTAAATATACTATGAGTATTGGCGGATTATCCGTAACGACTAAGTATCCCGTATCAGCCAATCTCTAGTATCCACGTTGTTCAAAACGCTCAGCGTTTTTCAATTCCTGTACGAATATCATACATATTTAAAACAATGATGACATGAAAACATGATGTGATTTGTAGTCTAGTCTAGAATATCATTTTTGAACAATTGTTCAGCAGAAATATGCTATAATACTTACGCCAGTGTTACTTCGGTTTCACTCTTGCCAGATTCGTATTCTGCGGACTCTCTGAGTCTCGTATGCTTGGCTCTTGATGGCTTGATGTGTGGCCTTAGTCTTGTAAGTGATATCACTTCTGATAATAACGTTGCGCTAGACGAGGCACGATTGACCATGGGCAAGCTGGAACTAGATCCTGCAAAAAAGCTGCAGTGAGGAGTAGCTATGCATTTTGTCTCGTAGTTTCAGTGTTTTTATATAGAACTGCTTGAGCATATTTTCCCCTCTGATGACTTTGTTAATTTCGATAAAGTTACTTGCTCTGTATCTTCAAAGTGGAATAGCTGTTCTGCAATCGTTATAGAGAAAAATAATGTTTAAATACTGCCAGATTTTAACACTAAAGGCTTATCTCGGCAATCATGCTGTAATCAATAACGTCAGCAATGTCTTTGATAAATGTAATAAAAATAAGTGACCCTAACGAGGATCCCTGTGGAATACCTGATGTTGGAGGAAACTTTTGAGACTTGAATTCACCTTTATTTGTGAATGCTTGCCGTTATTCCAGTAGCGCACCGGCTAGGTCTACTCAGCTCCGAGCAACTAAACCCCAAAGCAAATCGTGACAATATGTTTTGGAAAACAGGAAACTTCCTCATTACTCGATTCTGCGGTATCGCATTTTTAACTTGGGTATGTAGGCGAAACTATCAGATGCAATTACAACATGGGCGATACGATCTTGCCTCTAAAGCTCTAAACAGAGCCTCAACCAACCACAACTAATTAATTCCAGATGCTAATAAATTTTAGCTCTAATTAAAACAAGTTAGCGACACGAATGCACCAATTAAATGCAGCAGTTAAAGTTACTGCTGTGGAAAATGATTGTTTTCTATCAGGAGGCTATCACTTTGAGACATTGCTCGGAATATAATATACCGAGTGTTTCTAATTCGACACTCACCTTTGGGATCTCAGAAACGTTAAGAGATACGTCGGTTGAATGGGGCAGAGTTTCGCAATACCGAGTTTTTCCGGAGATCAACAGAAGCAACCGAGTTTTCTGAAGACCGTTTTAATCCTTTGTGGCCTTATTTGGCATGGAATTTTGGAATGAAAACTACATTAATATTGCGACTTTTCTCCTCTACAGGATGGCATCATTATAATTCCAACATGACGCTTCGTTACTTGTCCTCAGTCATCAACTTTATTTCTTCGTATAGACGCCATGTTGGATTTTCACAGTTGAATAGTGTCTAAATGTGATTCAATATAATTCCATATGATATGTCATACAATAACACTGTCAGACCTAAGATATTACGAAAAAAATTAATATTGTCACCATGTTACTGGACGTTTCCCTCATCCTATACGTAAACAACAATTAGCAACATCCTCACATACTACTGTAAGTTGAGTCAATTTAAATTCATTTTACACTTTTGTTGCTACTGTTATCATTGTAATTGCAGCTCCTGATGATGATGGCAAAGTCCATTGAAAGCTAGAGAGAATTAAAAAGGTATAAAGAGTCCTCTTTGCTTAAATTTTGTCGAAGTACCCAACAAAAGGCGGAAGCTTTAATTTTTCACCTATATAGATATATATATATATATATATATATATATATATATATATATATATATATATATATTCATTTTTTCAACACATCAGCAGCTTTCGCTTCACATCTTAATAGTCCATAAAAAAATCATAGAAAAATTTATTTTTAGTTCCTCGACCAGTTGGGTAGAAAGTAATTGGACGAGTAACTACTCCATGTAAATGACTAAACAAGTTCATAAATGCTTCCTCTATGAGCTCATAACCAAGCAATGCACTTTATCAAATATTCTTTTCGCGATGTAAGTTTCCATCAAAGAGGAATATTTATAAAGATCCAGCTACTTTGCCTTTTACCAGTTAGTATATGCTAATAAAATATATAATTTTATCAGAAGTTCGAGCAGTGCAATCAAAGTTTTATTAGTCCGAAGAGCTTTTAAAAGCGTTGCCCAACGAATAGCTCGTGAAATTAAAAGCAACAGTATAAGGCTAATCACCAAAAGTTGATAGTTACACAGCTAGTTTTACGCTTCTGTGTAAGTTGCGCGAATATTTAGATTTTCAGTGTTTGTGAGTGGGCGAGTGTACGTAAACTAACTGCTAAACACGGGTGTGAATGTATACCGGGTGTCGACACTCATCATTGCGATACCTCCGTGTAAAACAGGCTCCGCACGAGCTGCGCTCTCCCCAGGAGAAGCATCTCACGGGCAAGATTTTCAGGAGACCGTTATGAAGGTCTATCTTTGCGAGACAATTCAATGTTTCAGTGGAATCAATTGATAAATATACCTTTGTGTTGCTCCTTAGATTTTATCCATTCACAATGCATCTGTTCGCGAGTGAATCGTAAAATTTGTTTACCTGACAAGATTTCGCCAGTTTAATTTGTCGTTTGTGCTGTTTTGCTGTTTCCTTCTGCTGAAAGCTCACGGCATATTCTAAACTTAGGGTTACTACGACCCCCCCCCCACTTGTCAGTTTTCAGTTGTCGATATCGCCCCCCGCTCTTCAACTATCATAACGGGCATCCGTTATCAGAAGCACTGATGCAGCGGACCACGTCCTATGTTTTGCATTTATGCACAGATTCATGTGACATTTTTTTCCATTTTGTTTGTTTACCTAGAGGGAGAAATGTAACTTCTTTGAGGAACGCGGTAAATAATAGCGGCTTATCAGTTTAGTAGAGTAAAAAAAGTCACTGATTGATTGATACATTTCTTGAGAATTTCATTTTGGTTCATTTACGCGATTATTGAACTAATGTCAATATCGGAACGTGCATCAGAACATGAAAACTTATTTAGCAAAAATGTATACCGTAAAATGGTCCTACTTTGCTCCTACATGGGTAATTATGCTCCAATTCTGTAAAATACTTTGTCGTCTAGTACGTCGATTTCTTCAAGGCATGTCATTAAATTGTGAACGCACCCTAAACATCTGACATTTGAGTAGCAACACTGCAACAGAAAGATTTAATCCGCGATTGTTTTTCAATAGCAGATGCCATTTTTGTGCGGGAGCTGAAATTGTCATTCGATTTGTATCCAAAAAAGCCACTTCTATCTTGAAAATCACATAGCGTGAAATGGTAAGTACATTTTCATGTTGCTTTGTATATATTCAGCTAATCAAAAATGTGAATATTTAAAAGAAGTAACTAAGTTGTTTATTATATAACCTCTCTTTTTCTTGCGCTCTCATTATTCTATACATGCTGGGGTAACTTTGCGCCTGGAGCAAAGTAAACCCAAAATTATATGGTAAGCGAATAAACTAGAAATATGCATTTTCAATAATAATATTGACTTTTTTTATAAATAAAACTATTGTTTTGTTTCAGAAAAGATGCCGAGAAATTACAAGAAACGTTTAGGCTCCCGGAATTATAAGAATTATACCCAAGAAAATCTGAGAGCATGTCTAGCCTCTATAGAAAATAAAGAATCCACTCAAAGAAGATCCAGTGAAGAATATGGTATTCCACGAAGAACTATCATCAACCAGCTAAAACTGTTGCGATCTAAAATGCCATCTCGACCACTTGGAGCTCCAACATCATTTTCGGACGAAGAAGAAGGATTGTTTGTAGATTGCATCTTAAGACTAAGCGAGTACGGTTTTCCTTTGACAGCCTTCGACCTTAGATTAGTCATTCGAACATATTTGGATAGAATTGGCTGGAAAGTTACAAAATTTAGAGATAATTGTCCAGGTACTGAATGGGTTTCAAGTTTCTTGAAAAGACGTCCATGTTTAACACAGAGATTTGCGGCGAACATAAAACGTAGCAGAGCAGCAGTTAACAAAGAGACTGTCATTGCCTACATAAAAAACTTGGAAGACGTGGTTAGAGACGTCCTTCCCGAAAACATATGGAACTTTGACGAAACTAACCTTTCAGATGATCCTGGTCAAAAGAAAATTATAACTAAGCGTGGTGCAAAATATCCGGAGCTTATAAGGAACACATCCAAAAGTTCAACTTCTATAATGTTTTCTGGAAATGCTGTGGGGGAATTACTACCACCATACGTAGTGTACAAGTCCAAGCAACTGTGGAGTACATAGACAGAGCATGGACCAAAACATGTCAGATACAACAACAGTCCTTCAGGTTGGTTTGACATGAATATATTTAATGATTGGTTTTTTACCCAGATATTGCCAAGACTGAAGAAACAAGAGGGTCCCAAAGTTATTATAGGAGACAATTTGTCATCTCATATTTCTGTAGATGTCTTGAAAGCCTGTGACCAGAACAATATTAGATTTGTTTGCCTGCCTCCTCATAGCACCCATTTAACTCATCCATTAGATATTGCTTTTTTTCACCCAATGAAGGTGACATGGAGGAAAATCCTCACCGAATGGAAAGCAAGTGTACAAGGCAGTCGAGAAACAGTAGTTCAAAAAAGCATTTTTCCAGTTCTGTTGAACAGACTCATTGATATCTTGGAACCAACGAGGGAGGCTAATCTCATTTCAGGTTTCCGAAAATGTGGAATTTTTCCTCTTGACGTCAATCCATTATTGCAGCACAGGCTGAAGGTTGTGGCAAGAATATTAATTTTAAGCCACTCGTGAAGGCAGTTGGGCAATATCTAGTATTCACGTATGAAGGAGAAATTTTTCCTGGTAAAATTACAAAAATCTGTGAACAGGGATCATACCTTTCTTCAATGAAAAAGTCTTTGAAATCCTGGAAATGGCCTGAGCTTCCGGATGAAATCCAGTATCATTGGGAGGAAATTTTGGGATGTATTGATCCGCCTAAAAAAGTCAGTCTTAGACGTGACATCTACTCAGTCCCCGAACTAAACCAAATTTGGAGGTCTTAAATATTTGTGTACAAAATGTTATATTGCTATGAAACATTTTTATGTTATTGTTCTTGAAAGTTTATAACAACGACTGACTTAACGTCTAAAGTTAAAGAAATTACAGTTCCTACTTTTTGTTGAAGTAACTTTAAGATATATAATGTGTATAATATGTATAAGTTTTTTATCGCATAAGTATTTTCAAGTTCGTAAGTTTTGCGTTCAGATGAAAGTAGTATAGAGCGAACAATGTGATTTTCTTTCAAAATAAATACAATAAACGAGATTTTGCAAAAGAAATTCTCTTTATTATATTATAGTTGGTCCACGTCGCAACCCACATAGTCATAAAACGTAATGGAAATTATAACTGGACCATAGTTTCAATAAAGAAAGCATAACTTTGCTCCGAAGGATTTTCTAACCGAGATCTGTTGTAAAAAATATTTAGGAGCAAAGATACCCACGACAATGGGTAAGATTGCTCCTTAATTATTGTTTTATATATACAAAAAATACGTCTTGACATTAATTCGATTTCAAAATGTGTTAGTTAATATGTTCCTCCATTTATGAAAACATATGAGCATATCTTAATAATTGATAGTTTAGAAAATATTTGAGATTTCCTAAATTTGGAGCAAATATTGGAGCAAAGTAAGACCACTTTACGGTATATTCATTTTTAATAAGAAATTCGGAAAAAAGATGCCACTGTAGCTGCTCATCATGGGGAAGCAGAAAAGTATTCGCTAACGCACTCAATGTCGTTAAAAAATGAGAAACTTACCCGCCAGCGAGTCTTGATCTTCTCCCTTGGCGACATGATACTTCCTGTACCTAACTATGTACTGGGCAGCCAACGCGATAGTTGCTATAATGAGACCACAGAGGAAGAATATGGCGGCAATATGAACAGTTGTGAGCTTCAGCACTATAGCAGGAACTACACCAACACTCTGGGCTACTGGCACACTTGATATATTTTGTCTGGGATTTTCTGGAATAGAACGTGGTATTGTAGGGATCGTAGATACCATTTCCCTTGGAATCTTGGTCGGTTTTATTTTCTTTTCCATTTCACACTTTCTACATGTGAAAAACAATTGCACCAACTGCTTAAGATGAACAAAAAGGGTATTGAGTAAAGACACATTTATAGACTTAAACTTAGAGCAACACCCCGCCTAAGCTCAGATGACCTAAAGCAATAATTAATGACAGACAGACAACTGCTATTCTGGATATCGAACTCACAGAGTTCCAAAGACTGGAAATGACCTAAAATCGATGATTTTATCATAACATTCGTGCGCCCCGCTTGACAATGAAATGCCGTTTATTGACTACTATCTACTTCTGGAATGCAGAAATATATCTTTTCAACTCAATCCTTATAGTCAATTTGATTGCAAATGCATATTACACAAGGCCTGTTTAAAAAAATTAGTCGGCAGATAAAGTGAACACAGTTAACAAAACCTTCCAGATATTAAGGCCATTCAAACTACATTTTCAGATAATCAAATATCGTGAACAGTTTTTGCACAAATCTCGAACATTTTCATTTTCCCATCTTAATCAAACTACTCACTGAACTGCGTTGCGACGGCAAAGAACCCTCCTCCACATGCCTGCGTTTCGGCTGGGTCTTCAGTTTCAGCATAGAACTCCAGCAGTAGGTGCGGCCCTGAGGAGTTGACGGCCGCGTGGTCGTCTTCAGGGAGTGCTGCAACCAACGTTGAAGAAATTGCCGGACCGTCGCGCACCTTCAGCCACTGAGTGCCGCAAGGTAAGCGGAATTGATCCACGCGGAACTCCACGATGCAGTCATCTTCAGCCTAATGAAATAAAAATAATGAAGTCCATCTACCAAAATATCTTAACAGGCAGAGTTTTACTTCAACACTCAGATGGACATAGTGGAACGGTAAATACCAAGACCTATTCACATCTGAAAATAAAAACGTCTAAATACGTAATTTACGGATATACGGATTTATCTAAACACGTCAAATATTCAATATCACAAATCCGAACCAACTCTGTTGAAATTTTGCACAACAAAGTTGTAACGTAAAACTAGACGTATGATTGAAAAATCCAGTACCTACCCTGATTTTTAACTTTTCTCTTTTTAATCAAAATCAGCACCTTCTATCTGACTATTGAAATGTTTGACTTTGTATAAAAGAAACCAATGAATGGTACTAGTTAATTAGCAAAATACACTGATTTCGCCTCTTAGTGTTTTAGTTAAAACGTTTTATTTACTCAAATATGTTATCTCCAGCAGTTTACAACAAAATTCTAATGGTTGAGTTGAGCTTCTTTTATTTCCTTGTATCTAATATTTATCATACTCTCAGTTTATTATTATTTCGTTTAAGAAAGCGATTCACGATATATAATTGATGTTATGCAACATAAGTATCGCATAAGGAAAACAGCATTAAGTGTGCGATTTCTCTAAATTTGACATTCCAGACCAGCTTTAAGTTAAAAATCCACAAAAATGTACTGTGTAAGTCGGAATTGGACATTTCATGGGTCCGGACCTGTACACTAAATTTATCTACATTTCCATCATAATCTGGAATTGGTTTGAAGAGTCAAATTCAGTGCCTTTGCATACTAAATGCCGTTGCCCTAAATCAAGACTCATGTTGTACCACATCAGATGCTAGAATTAAATCGCTAAAAAAAATACTGAAAAAACTAAATAGAGTGCATAAAATTATTATTCCCTCTTATTTATCATGTGATGCTCTTTGCGAAATAATAACACATCCAAGAGAATAAGGTATAGGGCGTTGCAATTAACAAAATACAAGGAAATAGAAAAATTAAGATCAGCCCTGGAATTCTGACTTCCCAAAACATAATAATATTTAGTTTGATTTAAGCATTATTTTGGAGAATGTCGATAAAACCAAGTTGATAGCCCTCAAACCTTTTATTTAACTGAAAAACTAAATTGGCGCAATCAATCTGTATTGCTAATTAATCACCACCATTCATTGGCTTTTTTGTACACAGTCAAACATTCCAATATTCAGCTTAAAAGGTGCTAATTCTGATAAAAAGCAAAAAACATGAGACATATGGAGTCCGACCCTGAAGCTTTTAACCGTCGGTGTAGTTTTACGTTACTCCTGGACAAATTAGTTTTGGTTTGAAAATCATTGCTAGAAAATGGTTTATGTTTCACCAGGTGAAGCGTTTAATGTCATCTATTCGCGAAGGATTCTTCGTACCCTTCGCAAAGGCCAAGGGGTGAGCATACTAACGCGGTCTTCCCTCAATAGTTGGGGTCACACCACTTAAAATATCACTGTGGATCCAACAGCAAACATATTAGTTTTAATGTAGCACATTTTAGCACCTCAATGGATGAACTGATTTGAGTGCAGTTTTTCCATCAAAATTCCTACCTGTCGAAATTGTTTTTAGCTGTACTTAATAAGATTGGTTAATCTGCTAAAAGGTTATGGGCAGTAATGTGAGCAGATATGCCTAAATAGGCATCAGATGAAAGGGTTTGATTTGTAGATAACTCAGTCAGTCTTTCATTGAGAATCTGCCAAGTCATTCAACAGTTAGACCTGTTTTACTGAATGCCTTCTAACCCAACAAAAAGTATCCAAACTGGATTCAGCCAGATCATGTTTTTTTTTCATTTGCCTAGCAAAATAATTTGACCGCTTTGACAAAATATTTTAGTGAACACAAATTAAATATATATTATTTAGCACATATTTTACTTGAAGGAGACTATTAGGAAAATAAATTAAAAACCCAAAAAGTCATTATCTTCTTGAACTGACATTTGAAATACGACAGCCATAACAAAAGACTCACCTGGATTAGCCAAAATGTTCTGCCTGGACAGCTCTGGGCTGACGTCGCAAGTAGCCTTTTTGGCCGAGCTCTACCAAGGTGTACTACGCAGCCACACCTATAGTACACAAATGACATTTGTCAAAAGTAATGCATGTAGTATACTCACATCAAACATTTCACGCAACCTTTTATTGTAGGTACTTCACTGCGACTCATGGGTTAGTCTTACCTGCAAAACGGTCCAACCTCCGCTGCTACCTCAGGAATTTCAGCTGCGATTTCTGATACAAGTCCACCAACCGATGAACCTGGCCCATATACACATTCCCAACCTGCTCCCAAGCCTGTGCCACATTTTTCAGTTTCGACGGCTGATCCCTAGGACAGAAGGAAATTTATAGCGTACTTTCGTTGGCATCTTAAGGATGCGGGTCTCTTTAGGTATCCTTTGGTCTCTTAGTGGGGACGAATTTAAGTACAAAAACATTTAGCTATTGAGTATTCTTCCCCACTCGTCGCTCAGATCCAGATCGTCAGCCACCCCATACTACTGAAAAGGTGATGATGCGACCCAACGTCGTTTCCCTAGAATGGATTCTCGGAATCACTGTTTCATCTTATTGTCCACATCCTCTGCATAAGGATGCGTCACTCAGTCTCAGCTAACACCATTTTTCTAGACACCTTGAAAACAACCTTATCACGAAAAATAAGTTTGCTGTCAAGAAATTTTCAATACGCAAATTGCCTGATAAAAAAGGGTAGTAAGCTTACACAATAGACCAGAATATGTGGAATTTGAGAGAAAAAATTGTTATGAGCTGCTTCACAAGAGAAAAAAAATTCTAATGAACTTTTTCATTAAACGACATTGTTCGAAAAAACACCTTTTTGAGTGTAAGGAAGTGGTGGTCAAAAAATGTTATTGGGGATGGATGGTCCTTCAAAATAAGGGCCTACACGGTGAATGTTTTATTTCGGTTAATTTGTTATTATAAAGAAGACCTCATAAATCGTCAATTACTGCATTCATTTTTTTTTTACTTGAAAACGCATGACAATAAATGTATAATTATAACCAAAAGTTGGAGCCTTTGCGGTGCTCAACATCCAGAAAAAAATTCATTAAAAATGCAAAACTATTTCTGCAATTTTTTAATATTTACTAATATTTTTCAGGAAAATGGCCTTTTTGGACATGGACTCGGAGACAGAGGTCCAAAAAAATATCTTCTTGTCGTCAGAGTGTGTATCTTCATCCACTTTTCAGTAGTGGGCATCATAATTACCACTATAAAAAAACAACGGACTTATTCTACTTGTTTATAGAGCAAATATAGATGTACCATTGGCGATGCATTTTACATGGTTTATATAAGAAAATCTGGTATCTCTATCAATAGAATATTGAACCAACCCCCTAGCAAGAGAATGAGCCAACTATGAAGCAAATTAATTGATCCAAAGTCGTTGGATAGATCACAAAAAAAAATTTTTTGGAAAAAACAATTAGTAACATTTTGAAAATTGCAAAAATGGTTGGGCATTTGTGATTGAATTTCTTTATGTATGTTGGGCACCACAAATGCTTCAACTTCTGGCTATTCTTTCAGTTTCACAGTTATGAGTTTTGCAGTAAAAAGTAAATGTTTCCTACTGTGTTGTAATCAAGAAGATTTTTCGAAAATGACATATTACGTTTTTTGGATGATATGTGAAATTTCTATAACAAAAAAACCATGTCAGTCATTTCAATCGGTTTGTCGACTAATCTTACAACCTGAGAAGTGCCACTCGAATTTCTGTTAAATTCTCACACAGTAACTCTACTATGTCAACGATGCAAAAGCTTCGCAGTTAAATTTGGCTCAGTGGTGGCGGAGCTAGGGGCAAAAACTCAAAAAAAATAAAAACTGCTCAAACTTCGATTTGTAATGTTTCAGATACTCTTATTTATTTTGGGTATGAAGTGGCATCCGCCCATGCTAAAATCCAGGTTCAAGTGGGATCCGTATATCGGATGCCATTTGACCAGAGCTTGTTCAGTAGCATATTAGCACTGTGTCAGTTCGAAAAACAAAAAAATAGCAGGAAGTTAATTGACATCCAAATTCGATCTTCAAACTGCATTTTAGTGCTAGAGTGTATAGCCCAGGTGGTGGTGAGCTAAGATGGAGTATATTAATGCCTATGCTACCCGAGGCTAAGGTGGATTCCACAAACGCTGGCAACCACGCAGTTGTTTGTAGTTTCATTCATAGGTCAATGTGGGATCTATATACTCTTTGCGTGTTCCGCACAGTTGAATTGTTCCCAAGAAATATAGATAATAAAGATAGATATCTTGTTAGAAAGGTGCCGCAATCCAAGTTTCTCCCATTCTAGCGAGTTGGAATCTGGTTGAAATAATAAAACGGGGTGATACGTGAATTGACGCAATACCACAACTAGTACTATTCCCGTGAAACAAAATGCTTGCAAAATCTATACTATACTCTTTCACTGATTGGAGTTGTGAGTATCATTTTTATAAGGAGGGTTGGGGGCATGAGCAGATTTAAAGGAGCGCGGCGAGCGTCAAAGGCTGCCATTTTTCTTGCATAGTACAATTGTGGTACCAACCCTGAACGTGCAACCTACGACCGCAACTGAGCCCCTCGTACACAGATTCCTAAATCCGCCTCAGGCTGGGTGTTTTTATTTTCAAAGTTTTAATTTAATAAATCTCGGTGAAAAATGTAAGTTACATAGAAAAACTCTTAAAGAGTCCTGTTGATTGAGGTCAACATTCTTAAATATTTTGTATAAAGCATTTGGATCGAATTTGGGAAAATCAATTACTGAATATTTTCACTATAACGAACACTTATTGCATTTTTCGAGTATGGCTTGAACTAATAAAATCCAGCAATAGTTGTCATCTATATCGTAGCTTAAATCTTGTGTTAGTCAATAAATAAAATCACAGATGTTGAATAGACTATTTAAATACGTTTCGGCTGCTACAATTTCTATAAATATTTGGATTAAGTGTTTGGTTCATGTTTTTTTCTTATCAAACACAAATAATACAAATGCAGCAGGGTGTTATAGGTTTAAAGTATTAACAATGAATATTTTGATAATATACAGGGTGGCCAAACACGTGACGTCATAAAAAAAAATTAGATTCCCCACATCGAGAGGAACCCAAATCATCCCCATATATATGTCCGATTTTGTTTAGTTTAGGAGTTATGATTTTTTTTTCGGATTTTTCGAGAATTTTTGAGTTCTGTGTTTATTTTTACCATAACTTCGTTAATAATTGTGATAAATGCCTGCTTTTTTCACGATTATGTAGCTAAGACCTAAGGCTTAACTATCATAATTATAATCATTCAAGTCATGTAACTAATACTACTTTTTAATTTTTTTCAATATCTTCGAACATAACAAAAAAGTAAAAAAGTGCAACAACTTTGAATGTTTATAAAAAATTTAAGAAACATGTTCTTACTATTCGTAAGTATCTTAAAAACTTCCTTACGGTATCAGCTATTTACCGTAAAAATTTCATCAACCTAGCTTTACTACATGCTACCGTAATTGTGGCTCAAATAGAACCGAACCCAAAATTGGATAACCCTCTGCTCAATAGAAATTTTTAGTTTCGGAAAAAAATTTGCAAAAACCACAAAAACACGTTTGATTTTTACTGAACAGCAGATTATTATTCATTTATGTTATTTACAAGAGGTTTTCAAAATGTCTGCCTCTAACAGAAATGCACAGTGTACACCTACGTATGAAATTTTGTTTTAAATCTCTAAATGCTTGTGTGTTGTTTTTCAACACATGTGTCGCTTCTTGAATTTTGTTCCTCAATGAATTTTCATTTGCACATTCTTGGGCGAATGTTATGTCTTTAAAATATCCCCAAACAAAAAAATCAATGGGGTTGAGGTCAGGGGAGCGTGGAGGCCATCGTATCGGTCCGTTTCGTCCGATCCATCTGTCTGGGAACCTTTCGTTTAAGTAATTTCGCACGATCGTTGCGTTGTGGCATGGTGCAACATCATTCTGGAACACCATGTTCCGTCCTGCCATGAAAGTGTTATGTGTGTTAGTAAAAACACGGTGGTCTGGGTAATGCTCAGGTTGTGGTCCGCCTCGGCGTATAAGTTGTTCCCGGTACAGCTGAGCTGCTAAAGCGCCGTTGCCTTGAACAACGCCATAATAATAATGCATTTCTGCATATTCACGCAACGTATAATGCATCACAAACTTCTTAGCAAACAAAGTCCAAATCAGTATGCAAAGCAGAGAAATTAGCCGGAATCCCTCAACGAGTACGAGATCTATGGCACAAAACCTTATAATACCACGAACATCGATACAAAATATTCTTCATGAAGAAGGTTATCATGCCTATCATGTTCAAAGAGTTCAAGCGTTGATGCCTTCAGATTACCAGTTAAGAGTGGATTTCTGCGAGACAATGCTGCGAAGACAACGAGAGGATCCCGATTTTTTTGATAAAATTTTATGGACTGACGAGTCACGTTTTGAAAGAACAGGGATATTCAATATCCATAATTTACATACTTGGGCTGTTGAAAACCCCCACCAGTCAAGGCCGTCGACATTTCAACACCGTTTTAGTGTGAACATGTGGTCAGGAATATTCAATATGGAATTTATCGGTCCATTTGAACTGCCGTCAAGGTTGGATTCGGTAGCCTACAAAAGCTTCCTTGAAAATAGCCTACCATTATTGCTGGAAGATTCAAGCCTGGAAGCCAGACGGAACATGGTGTTCCAGAATGATGGTGCACCATGCCACAACGCAACGATCGTGCGAAACTACTTAAACGAAAGGTTCCCAGACAGATGGATCGGACGAAACGGACCGATACGATGGCCTCCACGCTCCCCTGACCTCAACCCCATTGATTTTTTTGTTTGGGGATATTTTAAAGACATAACATTCGCCCAAGAATGTGCAAATGAAAATTCATTGAGGAACAAAATTCAAGAAGCGACACATGTGTTGAAAAACAACACACAAGCATTTAGAGATTTAAAACAAAATTTCATACGTAGGTGTACACTGTGCATTTCTGTTAGAGGCAGACATTTTGAAAACCTCTTGTAAATAACATAAATGAATAATAATCTGCAGTTCAGTAAAAATCAAACGTGTTTTTGTGGTTTTTGCAAATTTTTTTTCCGAAACTAACAATTTCTATTGAGCAGAGGGTTATCCAATTTTGGGTTCGGTTCTATTTGAGCCACAATTACGGTAGCATGTAGTAAAGCTAGGTTGATGAAATTTTTACGGTAAATAGCTGATACCGTAAGGAAGTTTTTAAGATACTTACGAATAGTAAGAACATGTTTTTTCAATTTTTTATAAACGTTCAAAGTTGTTGCACTTTTTTACTTTTTTGTTATGTTCGAAGATTTTGAAAAAAATTAAAAAGTAGTATTAGTTACATGACTTGAATGATTATATGATAGTTAAGCCTTAGGTCTTAGCTACATAATCGTGAAAAAAGCAGGCATTTATCACAATTATTAACGAAGTTATGGTAAAAATAAACACAGAACTCAAAAATTCTCGAAAAATCCGAAAAAAAATCATAACTCCTAAACTAAACAAAATCGGACCATATATATGGGGGTGATTTGGGTTCCTCTCGATGTGGGGAATCTAATTTTTTTTTATGACGTCACGTGTTTGGCCACCCTGTATAGTAGGAAACACCAACTTTATCACTCCCTAATCAAATTTGCAGCATAAAAGTAACACATGTTGCAATTACAGCATATCAACCTATTTTCATTTCAATGCAAAATAAGTCTATAACGCATAGGTGGCTGTGAAAAATAAAAGCCATGACAATTGTTTTTATTAATCACAGCTGTCAGAATACGTTCAAAATAGTTTCGGGTAGTTAAGGTTTTCAAAATGGGTAGAGGAAAGGTTATTAGTGAGAAAATTCGGTTACTTTTAATTAAATTTTTTAATTCTGGGAAATCAAATTCAGAAATTGCAACTTTGTTAGAGTTATTGCGGTACAGAGTGAGAAATATTGTTAGAAGATATAACCTAACTGGTTCAGTTAATATTAAGTCACGATATGTAAAAAAAGTAATATCACAAATGCCGACAGAAGAGCAATAAGAAGAATAATCGAGAAAAACAGGCGTGTCAATTATTTACAATTAAGTGCTCTGTGGAGTGACGCTGTTGGAAGCAGAATTTCGAGGTCCACAACTCATAGAGAGGCCCACAAACTGGGATTTAGCACTTGCAAGTAAGTTTTCTTATAAAAAAGTGACGTAAAAACCCTAAAGTTGCACAATTTGTTTATAGGCCAAGGAAAAGCCACTATTAACTCCAGTGCAAAAGAAAAATCGACTTAGATGGGCTAAAGAACATAGACAATGGACACGTCAACAATGGTGTGCAATACAATGGAGTGATGAGGCACGATTCGAAGTTTGTGTTGGTGACAGTCGCAGTAGAGTTATTCGCAAAAAAAATTAAGCATTCCATGTTGACTGTCTGAAAGAAAAGGGAAATTTCCAGCATCCATTATGGTCTGGGGCAGTATGTCATCAAAACTTCATTTTATTGATGGAAATGTGGATACAAACAAATATCTGGGAATTTTAGAAGAATCGCTGTTACCAGTGATGGAAGAATGTTTGACAAAGGTTTTGTGTTTCAGCAAGATGGTGCAGCGTGCCATACCTCAAAAAAGGCTATAAAATGGATGGAAGAAAATAATGTACCACTTTGTAGCACGAGATGAAAAAGGTTCTACGACAACATCCTGCTCGTACAATCACCGAACTGAGACAAAAGCTTCAAGAAAAAGGGGTTGTTTTACATCAAATTTTGCCAAAGCTTGGTTAATACTATGCCCCAAAGAATTTCAGCCGTAATAAAAAATAAAGGTGATGTTACGCAATGGTAAACTTTCAATTGTTGCTTTGTTAACTTCGCGCATTTATTCGCACATTGTTTACTTGTTCAGATGTTCTATTAGTTATAGGTCTAAGTGATTTCAAATATGTATTTTTTACGAGTAAAGTGTATCTAAAATGTTTCTGAGAAAATAAATTGTTTTAGAAGTAAATAGTTTCGTCATGTTTAGTTTATAAAGGCATATTTTGGTACAACTCTTGAAGTAGGCCAACTGAAGTAGGAAGGGGCTCGTAGTTGTCAGTTTCTGGTAGTAGCTTTTCACATAAATGATTTCATTCAGCAGACATTGAGTGTCATATGCATGAATAAAATTTCCAATCAGTCTAATTTATTTATGTTATAGTCTGGACTATTACTCTAGTATACCGTAAAATACCGATATCTGACGTTCTTTTCAATATATAACAATAGTTTATCTGTCTAACGGTAGTGAATTTGTCTGGGATCTTGTCATGGTTTTTTGTTTTTTTTAGAATCTGTGTAAATTATTCGCAACATTCTGTTTTTGAAATCCGTTTATCAAATAGAACCTTATGACGTTTTGAATTGATAATAACGGACTGTCATGTACCTGTCTCAAGTAGATTAGAGGCTACAATATCAAAATTTTTGACAAGATTTGCTTGAGTTGTGGAAAATCTGCAATTCGGACATTTTACTCAAATTTGGATGGTGGCCTGAAAGAAATATGAAGATCAAGTTGAGTATGTATTCCCAAAAAAAAATTACTATAACAACAAGATGCCCTTTCCACAAATTATTTGTTTGGATAAAATCCACATCAGGGAAAAGTATACGATTTTAAAAAGTAATAGTAATATCAATTGTTTGATAGGTGATCGCTGAACTATTCAAAATTAAGAAATTGTGTAAAAATTATTAGTATGGAGTTCTACCGAGTTATATTCAATGCAGTCAGTGTTTTGGTTCCGAAAAGTAAATCAGTATATCAGGTAACCAAATAAGTTCGTGCGGTTGCTGTACATCGCACATTGCCATGGATGTTCTTGATCGATAGCGACTGTTTGTTACCTGTTGTTACTTAAGTATGCATACTTCTTTTCTGACACACATAAAAAGTTGTTGATAGTTATTACATACCTAGTATTAATAATTGAAAATGGCTACGAATAAAACAGTAAGCATTTCACGTAACGCTAATGAACCATTTCTGGATCAGTTATTAACCTGCGACGAACAATGGATCTTGTATTCCAATTCCAAGCATTGATTGCCGCCTACTGATTCAGTACCACACACGCCCAAGGCTTCCTTGCACCCAAACAAGGTTTTGTTGTGTGTTTGGTGGACACCAACTGGAATTGTCCATTATGAGTTCTTGGAAAGGGGTCAAGCCATCACTGATAACCTGTGTTGTGAGTAGCTTCAACGAGTACCAGCAGCACTCATCCAGAAATAGCCTTCTTTGATCAATCGGAAGAAAGTCATATTCTTACAGGCTAACGCCAACCTTCATTCCGCAAAAGTGACCCGAGAAAATGTCTGCACTCGGCTGAGAAACCTTATCGCACCCGCCATATTCTCCCGAAATTTCGTCCAGTGATTATCACCTTTTTTGTCTCTTGACAACTGTATGAGGCGCCGACAGTTCACAACTCGAGATGGTGTAATAAATTCAATACTTCAATACCGGCATACAAAGATTGGTTCCACGTTGGAAAAAGGTCATTGAATGTGATGGTAATTACTCCGACGAATAAATAGTGTCTTATTGTTTCTCAATAAAATTTATATTTTTCTACTAGAAACCGCACGAACTTTATATATATATATATATATATATATATATATTATAGAAATATTTATAGGAAAGTTTTATACCTTAAGTTTCATGGACATGTTAACAGTGGGCAGATATTGATATGTACGGAGAACTCACAATTCTCTTAGATGTTGAAGATTCTTTATGTTGACAACTTTCCTCAGTGTAAAAAGTTAGGTAAATATAAACGTATAACCTAAGAATGTTGAATTATTGGTTGTGTGTTGGGATCACTGTGTATATCTAAACGTCTTAATATGTTGATGAGGGTGTATGTTCCAAATAATTTTAATTTATTGCACATATTCCATATATACAGGGTTATCCAAATTAAGTGTCCACCATTAGTAACTTTGTTATTAGTGAAAATACAAAGTTGTTTGAATTAGCAAACTAGTAGCATTTTTAACGCTGGTAAAAATGAGAAATAAAAAAAAACAATTGAGAGTCGTTATTTTGATTTTTTTCAGTAAAATAACATTTTTTTAAATGGAAACCCCTGTATATTATATTTTTTTCTGTTAAAGCATCAAATTTTAAACAAAAAAGTTCATAATGACTTTTCCGCTAAAGTCAAAAATAAAGTCAAAATAACAATAAATATTTTTAATTATTTGCAGTATTATAATATTAAGACGGCTATGAAAACAACATGGCGTTCGCGATTTGACAGCATTAATATAAGCGACAAATTGTTAAACTGGACATACTCGCAACTAGAAGGCTTTGGAAAACAATGATAAAATCAAATAATGTCAAACATTAGTGTAAATACTTGTTTATAAGCTTTATTGTGTCATTAATTTAAAGAAAAATGTTCTCCCATGAAGAAAAGTGTGATATGTTAGAATGCTATTTAGTGTGCAGAAAATCCTCCTTGAGAGCAAGAGAATACTACAGTGAATTATATCCCGCTCGCATTCAACCGTATTATGAACGATATTTTCTGAGACTTTATCGAAAATTTAGGGGCAACGAAAATGTTTTTGCTAAAACAAGGGCAAAAAAAGAATTCATAATAAGCGAGGCCACGGAAATTGCAGTTATTGGATATTTTGAAGCTTATCGTGAGAATTCAATAGCAGATATTCTCAAGGACTCTAATTTCAGTTATGGTACTGTTCAGAGGATTTTAAAAAAATACAAATTTATTCCGTATAAGTACCGACCAGTTCAAACGCTTTTGGCAGGGGATTCAGAGAGAACACTTGTTTTTTGCCATTGGTATCTTAGCTTCTGTCGCCAAAATGTAAATAACTTTCGTTACCTTTTATGGACAGATGAATCAAAGTTTTCAAATTCTGGAATGTTTAATAGAAAAAACCACCATTATTGGTCAAGAGAAAATCTTTTGTTAGTACATCCAAGAGGCCCACAAGTCCGTTTCAGTTTCAACGTTTGGTGCGGTATAATTGGTTCAAAAATTGTTGGCCCGTTCTTTTATGAGGGAACCCTAACTGGTGAAAGATATGTGGAATTTATGTCAGAAATTCTGACTAATTTCTTAGACGAATTGGATCTTATAAGTAGACATCATCTGCATTTTCAGCAAGATGGCGCACCTGCCCACAACTCCAGAGGTACTTATCATTTTCTAAGTACTACTTTTAATGATCAGTGGATAGGAACAAATGGCCCAATACAGTGGCCTCCCAGATCACCAGATCTAAACCCACTTGATTACTTCTTGTGGGGTTACTTAAAGAACCAAATTTACAAGCGAAGGTACGATAACCTTGACGCGTTAAAGACTGCAGTTAGGGAAAAGATAACCCAGATAGATGGTAGGACCATACTTAAGACAGTTCGAGCAGTTGAAAAACGTGCCCAAAAATGTATTGAAGAACAAGGTGTTGTTTTCGAGCATCTTCTTTAAAAAAATTGTTATTGTATTTTGTAAGATTATAAGTTGATGTTGAAAATAAAGTTTGTCGATACAATTTAATTGTTTCAGATTGGAGGCCATAACTTCAACAATTTGTAACCTAGGAGAAAAGTTATTGTAAGCTTTTTTGTTTAAAATTTGATGCTTTAACAGAAAAAAATATAATATACAGGGGTTTCCATTTAAAAAAATGTTATTTTACTGAAAAAAATCAAAATAACGACTCTCAATTGTTTTTTTTTATTTCTCATTTTTACCAGCGTTAAAAATGCTACTAGTTTGCTAATTCAAACAACTTTGTATTTTCACTAATAACAAAGTTACTAATGGTGGACACTTAATTTGGATAACCCTGTATATAATATCTAACTGGGTGAGATTTGGTATGGGAAAATATAACCCTCGGAGTTTACGGGATTTTTTTTTTGAGGTGGATTATTTATGATTACATGAGAAATTACTAGGATTAGTTTACTTCAACTTTGCTAAAGGTAGTCTACCTGTATGTATATGCACTGGAGATTTTAGATTCGGAATCGGTAAGCAATACAATGTCGTTTACGAAAGTAAAGTTGCTCATTAATTTAGGTAACTAATAAAGTGTTACTTACATGGTTATAAGCCTTGTACAAGTAACTGTTGGGATGTTAGTTCGCTACTATGTGTGTGGGACAAATCCTGAAACATGTACGCAAGCGATTTTTCCAATTTTGACGTTTAATAAGAAAGTTAGCCAGCAAAATTGTGGTATTCCGGGATAATAATCTTTGTTATATACCCTCGAGAATATGAGTTCGCTGTAAAACCGTAATCAAATATCGCCTCTCACATTTTCCAAATAGAGGTTAAAACTCGCCTTGTTCAGTTCGATGTAAACTAGCTGCTATTAGATCAATAGCCCATAGTAACGGAAAAGTCAATCCGCTGGTTAGAGTCCTTCAACCACTACAGTATTTTTTAGACGTTTCGTGAGTGCGGCCATCAAAATGGCTAAGGGCAAAGGGAAAAAGGGAGGAGGTAAGAAGAAAAAAGTGGAAGTTAATCCTGATGCATTGACTGAGGTGGATAAGACTTTTTACGAATTGACTATCACCGACTTGAACAGGAAATTGGCCAGATTGAGGTCACTGACACAGGAACTTGAACAGGTAAATGATATTCTTTTTGCGAAAGAAATTGGAAGCCGAATCACGTACACTTAGATAACCTAATACGATTAAGCTTTCGAGCCATGTGTGATCCATAATCTGTTGTTTAATATGTGGCTTTCCTGTAGAAAAATGAAGAACTGAAAACCGAAAACTCAAAAATGGACGAAGACAGGAACGACATCATAATTTATCTCAAAAGAGTGCTGCAGGAAAAAACAGATGAAATCGCAGAGCTAGAGGAAAGGATTGTGGCTCTACAGGAAACTAGACAAGCAGAAATAGCAAAATATGAAGAAAAAATTGAAGAAATGGGAGCTGAATATAAAACTATGCACGAGCAGTTGACTTCTGAAAACAAGTTGCTTGAGGGTATGAAAAGAGTATAGACACTTTGTACAGCTTTTACGGAGATATTCAATAGATCACAATGTTGTCTGTTTCAAAGACCTAAACCATACTGATGGTTGCTAATAGGCAAGGAACGGCGACTTAAACGATTGATCACATGAACGGAAAGCAAACGGATTTATTTCAGAAATTCACGTATAGATAGGGTGTGTATGGCATGCCGTGTGTCAACACAAATAACACTCAAATACAGTATAAGTACCCTCGTTTTAAAATCACACAGCACCGAATAAAATATTCTTAAAAACATACTGCTGAGAGAAAGAGTGCTAACGTATAAACGAGGTCGTCAACTAAAACGGTAGGCGCAAAAAGTTTCGCATTTGTAAGCAGCAGTAAGAGAAGTGAAGAAGAGAAGAAAGCACTACTTCCCTTGTACGCTGAAACAAACTTATTTCTCAAATACATATGGATTGAAGTCTAACTATTTCCAAACAAAACTCTACAAATTTTAAATTTCTCTGGCCTCAATTATTTTTTGGCGACTACGCTTGAAAGCTGATGGGAGCCTGAAAGAAATAACAAAAGAAAAACAGATTCTCTCAAAATGTGATAACAAATTAACCAAACGTAGAATAAAATGACAAACCATAAGTTGGACGTCACTGCGAGGCGCGTGAAAAATGCTGCTTTTAAATCAACGTCAATGGCATTGCACTTTTGAATATCTAGAAAGAATAAAGGCATTTCCATTGATGAAATATATATTTACGGCATTATATTAACTTAGATGGTCGACAGAAAATAAAAAATAAGAAACATGCATCTTTCCTTTTTTTAATTGGTCGACTGTTATTCATAGTCGATAGATAAAGGTTCATATAAAATCGGGAGTACGTTTATACATTGGTCCCAATTCCATTTGGTGTATTGCATGGGCCGAAAAAATCAAAATCGTAACGGCTATATACATTGTCCATAAATGTCGGGCTATTATGTACTAAGTTACATATGGCGATATATATCACAAGATACTACCACGAAATTCGATAGATACGTTCCGGCGTGAATGCCGTGAGTTGAATTCGCTCTAAAAAAATATTACAGATTCATACATTTGTATAGCTTATCTGTTACCGTTAACAAATACTAATAATATTTTCTATCATAAAATATGACTTAAATGTTCGGCGCTTATTCAACCCACGCGTTTTCACTTTAAAATGCAGATAGAAAAAATCCATATTCCAAAGAAAATTCCGCAATAAAATTTTAACAAACTCCTTTGAAAAGAGTTTAATCACAGTTTAAATTCTCGGTACCTTTGAATAGAAATACGGCTCCAGCAAGGTACTTGGAATTAATTAATGTTTTAATATTTATTAGTGAATCTCTTCATCCGTAAAACGAGCAGATTTTCATTTAGCATTACAAACTCCATTTGAAAGTAAAGAATAAGGCTTATCAACCTACGACAGTAATTAGTAATATTTCGTAGAAAGCACTAGAAGTCCCAGTGAACTATCATGTCTCCTACTATACATCATATTTTTTTAAGATGTTCGACAGGTTAACTCATGACAAATAAGAAAATTGCAGTACATGTTTAGAGCTAAGAAAAACACATATCCTCCTCACTCTGTACAAGACCAAGGCTCGAGTACTGCTGACATGTTTGGGGTGCTACCGCCCAGCCTACGTTATCCAGGCTCTATGCAGAGGATGGCTGTTTCATTGATTCGATCCCTATCCTCTAACGGACAGTCTGGAGACCCTTTCGCACCGACAGGCCGTTGGCGATTTAGCTCTCGTTTACCGCTATGTCAACGGGCTTTGGTCCACAGAGCTCTCATCCATCATAGCGTAAAGCGATTTGCCTGTCAGACAGACCCACCTGTCTTCGGCTTCCCGACCTAATCATATCGAACGTCGTAAATCCAGAACTGGACCATACGACCGTTCCTTTGTCCCTAGGGTATCGAGATTGTCGAATAAGCTACCCGAGTTCTACTAACCTTGAGCAGCTCAAAAATCGAATTAAAAAAATTCATTTACGCCCTTCATAGCAGCCGCGATGCCCTAGAATTTAGGCTTCCACCTACGCGCTCCGGTATATTAATCAAGAAAATGTCCCACAGGTTGTTAAAATGTTTGCTTCTTTTTACCTCAATTCCAATATATCTGAATGATATGATCACGTAAGTTTTCGTAGCTAATCCGACGTTTTTTCAATTTTCCAGGAAAACTGAACTCACTGGAGGAGTTTCGCCAACAACGCGACGAACTAATGAAAAAGTTCGAAAACCAAGAAGAAGAAATGGAGAAGCAAGAAAAACGCCATAAACGCGAGCTTTACGAGATTGAGCGCAAATTCATCCTGAGCAAAGACCAGTTGAAAAGGGACATGGAGAATAAGCTGATGCAACTTTCCACGGAGTTTCACGATGCTACTGAACTTCGCATCGCCGCGACCACGCACAGGGTCATAAGGGAGAATATAGCTGTAAATAATGAACTAGATTTGCTATTGCTGAACCAACAAAGATTGTTCAATGAGAATGTTACCATTAAGAAAAGGGACGCTACTTTGAGACAGGAAGCTGAGCTGCATGAAAGTGAGAAGAAGAAAGCATTGGGCAAGGTAGGTTTTACGTCTTAGGCCCACCAATTGTATATAAAAGGTCCTACAATTGTAGGACGCCTTTATGGCCTCCTTGATTCTCATATTTTCTACTGTTCCGTGTCAGCGCTCTATTTTGTGGTTATGCTACAAATATCTATTTGCATCAAATTGATCAGGCTTTTGATGTATATCATCTATTATATGAGTCTCAAGTATCCTACAATTCAAAAAGAAAACATAGACTCACAATAAGAGAGCGCTGACGCTGACTCGGAAATCTAGAAATACCCCAGCATTTCTGAAGAAGAAAATGACTATGAAAATCAATGAGGCCAAAGCGTCTTATAGGTGATATTGTAGGAACGATTGAGGATACGGCCTTAATAATAGGCCGTAATTACAAAGGCATATTTCTGAACTAAATTTTGCCTGTCTTTAAAGCCTGGTTTTCAAGATACAGGGTGTCAAAATCAAAATTTTTGTTTCACTTCCCACACCTGCTGGCGCGGTGGTATGTAATCACGAAAATTATCGAAAATGCGATATTATGTTTTTTTGCTGTTATATGCCATGTCCACTCACTTCCATCGGCCTGTCGGTCCTATATCCTATATTCGCCTGTAACTTGAAAAGTACCGCTTAGATTTGATTTTTACACAATGTTACTATTATACCAAGCGGTTTTAGACAATTGGTCCGGTGGCAAACGAGAAAAATGCCAAAAACAAAAAATAATGTTCAAACTTCGTTTCTTTATTTTTTGACGTTTCAGATGATGCTGACCATTTTCGGAATTTCTTTTGTATGGGTTTAAAATTGAGGGTTAGAAGTTACAGGGGGGGATACATGTAAATGTTTTTACGTTGCTATATTTATAGGCCACCAACCTCAGTACTAGGCATTTCACTCATCATAGATATTCCTATACATTTACCCTTAAAACAGAGATATATCCTACAGTCGGGTGTCGATACGTGCGACGTTGTCTCCCGATCGACAAGCGTCGTCGTTGATTGTCGTACGTCACAGTCGGCAATCGCTTCCGCACTGTTGTGGTCTGCGTGCACCGCGCATGGTGAAGGCTAATATCGTCATTAACGCGGGATTGGTCCTCGCAACGATCATCTGTACCTGCAGCAATCCCTCTCAAGGGGGGGAGAAAGGTCATTTAATCTTTTATTATACATTTTTTCTTAGAAGGACTGAATTGTACCAAACAATCATTTACGAACTGCGTATGAAGTACAGAGTCAACTCACTTGACGTTTTTTTTATTTTTATTAAAAAACGTCCATAACCTGAAGTATGAATACGAAGCACGTAAGCTACGAAGTATAGTTCTGAAATCCTTCTCACTTATGACCAGAACTGATGGTCCGAAGCACGGTTTTTGCCTAAAATAATTAAATAAAGAATACGAGTTTGAAATGACCAAAAATATAAAAATGCTTTTTTTCGATTGGGAATATTTGAACGATAAAGAAGGTCCCTCATCTCAAGTTTTCAAATAAAGGCGTGTTACACCATTTTTCCTCTGCACTTTCAGAATTTATCATGGTTTTTTTTATTTGTTTAAATATTTACAATCGGAACAAAATATTTTTAAATTCTTAGTTTATTTCATCAACAGTCAAATAGAAGCTTGTTTTTAAACGTTCATATTTCTGTTTTATTCTTTAATATGTAGGATGTTAAATACCTAGTTTGGTAATTTCTATATCATTTTCATATATTTTTTTAATATGAATCCATAAAACTTGTTACTTTATTTGTATTATAAAGTTTCGATAGACATAAGTCATATGACGTTAAATAAATATTTTGTATAAATGATGTATTTTTGAGAACGTTTTTTTCTTTAATTAGAACAATAAAATCGTCACCTTAAATATTTACATTTAACTAGCACCCTGTTTACTCTTAGGTAAAAGTTCAACTTAGGCTGATAAACAAGCTGATAGAGGACCAGTCTTTCTTGAAAAATCAGATACAACAACTGAAACGGTATGAGGCGGAGGTTCGAGAAGTCCATAGTGATAAGAAGAAACTAGACCTAATAATCCAGAACCTCCGACATAATAAAAGAATCCTGGAGCAGAATTTACATAACGTGAGGTGTAACAGGACCTCGATCGAAACGGACTACCTGTACTGTAAGGAGGAGAATGACAGGTTGAATGGTATACTTCAAGAAGCTGTTAGTGCCATCAAAAATGCATTGGCAATCAGGTATAGATACAATCATCGAATTCAAATAGGTTAGAAGGAGCCGAGAGGATATCTTTACGTTGAATTGTCTGTCGCCAAAATTGCGTAGTTTTAGGCCCATATTGTCAGTCGTCCCTACAATAGTAGGGCGCGTTTATGGCCTCCTTGGTTGTCATACTCCTTTCTCTCCTTCAAAAATTTCTAGATTACACTTGTGCCGAGTCAGCGTCAGCGCTCTCCTATTGTGAAGATACGTTTTCTTTTTAAATTGTAGGAAATTTAAAGCTGGTAAAACATGATATAACTCAAAAGCAAGAACAACTTGATGCAAATAGATGTTTGTGACATAATCTCAAAATAGAGTTCTGACACGGAGAAGAAACTATGACAATCAAGGAGGCCATAAAGGCGCCCTACAATTGTAGGGACGACTGACGATAGGGGCCTTAGTGCATATTTTTGACTCATTCGACAACCATTGCCTACCAAAGTGACAGCGTTGTATCAACATAATAATGATTACCTGCGGAATTATCCATCTTCATTAGGCTTGTGTCACTATTTTCAAATTATGTAAGACGTACCATCTCTTGAAATCGCTTAACATGACAATTATCTTCAAACAGTCGCAGTTTAAAAAAATACTTATATAAAACTTTAACGACAGAATTGGCATAAAATTGACTTATGCCAAGTGTACCTCACTATAGACTATGGTAATTAAAAGAAAAATAGATCCTTGATGGCTCCTTGTACGTAGTCTGAATTCGTTGGAGACAATTTGACGATCTCATCCACTGCAATCAAGTACCGGAATACGATGCGTTACGCTGCCCTCCTCCGGTTTGATACTCGAGTATAGACATAGGATTCCCCAAATTTAAGACTAACGGTGTGGGTTAAACTTCACCGCTAGAATTCAGTTGTACACTTAAACTGGAGTGACGCTGTTGTAATAGCGTAAAATCAAGATGTTATGTTTTCTGAACGTTGGATGACACGCAAGCCGTAAAAAATTGTCATACCTTCGTCGGCCTCTTTGTTCGTCTGTCTGATAATCCTTGTCTGCCATTTAGCTCGGTAAGTACTTATTCAAATGCTCTATTGAATCGAACGCCTTGCCCACTGTTCTCCGAACCCGCCTACCCATCACGATGCCATAACGCAACGTTGACAGAACGACCTTCATTTGTGCTGGCAAAAATATTCAGCCGGCCAGTGCAGCATTCTTCTATTGTCACCTCCGGATAGAACCACTGGTCACAGCGATAACGTTCTTCCGCTGCTCTTTTCTCCCTGTTCGATCCCCCGTTTCTCATAGAAATATCTAATTGTTTTTTGTAATGTGAAACAGATGCTTTCACACAGTCAGGTGCAACACAGAAAAAACTTCTTTCAAAAAATTCTCCTATAGATACCTAAATATTGTTGGATTCATCCTGAAAATAAAAATATAGTCACTTAGCATTGATATGTTTCGAACAAATATTAAAGCAAGAGAGGAAAAATCTAAACTAGAAAATGTTAAGAATTTTTGGCACCATTGCCGAAAGTTGTCCTGTTGCTTCATCAAACAAGTCCACACCATCAGAAAAAAGATATTCCTTTATAAGAATTCAGAATTAATTGAGAATTGGCATTACGAAGAGCATATAAAATCAACCTTTAATTCCTTAAAGCTATGCCTTCCATGGTCCATCCACCTTACCCAAAATTTCAATGGATTTATACCAGACGGTGCGAAGTCCTGAATTAACTCGATTTATTTTTTTTCTTTACAGTTCAGAGGGCGACGAATCACTGGTGGCTTACCATCGCGAAAACTTTCTCAATTCACTTTTCACCTTGCTAAGCAAGGCTAAGGAAGAAAAAATCAGAAGACCATCTATGGAGACCGTGGACTCTATTGAAGCAACGTATGCACGTGGCGATCTTGGATTTGTACCTAAACCGGTAGAGTTGAGAACCTCTGTCAAGACGTACAGACATATGGATGCACAAACTGGGGCTAGCTTCCAGGAATATCTCAATACTGGCAAGGTTGGTAAAAATTACCTGAGCGTGTTTTTTCGAAATTTGCTCTCTTCTAATAGTGAATTCCCACACTTCGGCTGTGTGAAAAAATTTAACTTTTACTAGACTGTTTCAGCAGAAGTACATTTTTCGTGCATGGCTATGTATGTATGTATCCAAAAAGGTCTACTTAGCGGACATTGCAAGTCCATACTGTAGTGCGTAGTCTTATAATCAGCGTTTCCACCTTAGTATGATTTGGAACGATTAGTTTGAGTTCGTGATAAAATTAGCGGAAGCTTCCATTAGCTTTAGTAAAAACAATACTTTTAACTAATCAAATTGGAATGAGCTCCAAAAATGTTCTATTTTAGATATAAAGTAGAGTTATTAAATGCCTTCGCAAAATAACTAAGACAAGTGTTATTCGAAAAATATATTGTCACAAAACATGTCTACATAAAAATGAGTAAAAAACTAGAATCGATGCACTTGTTACGAAGGTATGTTGAGTAACCGTTATCTAGATTGGCGACCATTTTTAACTATGGCGGCTAAACGGCCACGATTGGGATCACTTGACGTTGATTTCTATATACTCCTGTAGGTGCTTCATGTCGTTGGTTTAGAAGTAATCTTCTGTGACAATTTCGCCTGAATCCGAGCGGCTCTTTTCAAGTTCCTAATGGGCCAAGGATCAGCGGACAGACCAACAGAAACACATACAGACAGATCGGCGGAAATTTGTGACATAGTGGGCATCGTAATGTGAGGGTTGTAACATCCACAAAATAATAACTCATTTTCAAAATTTTTTGCGATTACTTTTTCGCCAGTGGCGTAAGAAGTACAATAGACCATTTTCCCATTTAACCTTTCTTGGTATACTTGAATTACTGCTGGAATATTAATGGTTTTCAAAAGGATATACATATATATATATATATATATATATACCCGTATCCGGATGTGTGGGCATGTGTATCCACTTTTGTAGTTTCATATTTGCATTCATTTCGGGTCGGATGAAGCCAACCAGCAGAAATACGTATCGCTCGGGATACCTATCCTATTTTCTGCTCGAATCCATTTTCCTCCTTTTGGCGGATTTTGACCATTATTTTCCTACTTGTTGTTATATACCTTTCTCCCCATGATCATATTCTCTTTGTAGATCCTTTGGGCTTGAAGTACCACAGCAAGTGGCTATAACCGGCCGCGCGGTGGTGATTAGACGTCTCCTTGAAAATTCGAGGTCGTATAGCCATTTTATACTACAATGTGTAGGTTGGCTGTTGTTGCGGACCTCGTGTGTCGTTTTTTTTTCCTCCAACTTCGTTTCCTCAGGTTACAATCGTATCCGGATGCGTGGGCATGTCTATCCACTTTTGTAGTTTCATATGTGCATTCATTTCGGGCCTGATGAAGCCAACCAGCAGAAATACGTATCGCTCGGGTTACCTATCCTATTTTCTGCTCGAATCCACTTTCCTCCTTTTTGCGGATTTTGTCCATTATTTTCCTACTTGTTGTTATATACCTTTCTCTGCATGATCATATTCTCTTTGTATATATATATATATATATATAGCTTAACGGCTACTTTCAAATATGGCATCAGAAACGACCAACGGCTTAATCGCACGACCTGATTTTTTATATATCGTCTAATCATATTAACAAATTTCCCCGAAATAATTGTAAAGTCTGGTTTTATTGGTGCAAGTTGTTCAAGGGGGTATTTGCAACATGGACGCATAAAATGAGTACACCAATTTTTGTGGAAAAACTTTATTCGACAACAAAGCGTGAGAAAACGTGTTTTTTGGGATTCAATCAAAAGCGTTGACAGAAACAAAACAACTTTTTTCACAAGGTTTTTAGGTATTTGTGAGTCCTACAAAATGAGACCACACGTGAAAAGATCCCATAGCAAATATGTTATGGCCGAAAAACGGGGAAAATCCGGTTTTTGGCAGTTGTTGGTAATGCTACGATAATTTCACGCAACTGCTTGAAATTTTTTAAATCCGTAGGATCTATACTTCTAAATAACAACAGCAAAATTGGAGTATATTGGTAAAGATTTTTTTTGAGAATTTCTAATTGTTTATCCCAAAACCCATGTTCTCCGGCCATCACTACAAGTTTATTGAGCAATACGCAGGGTTTGTTCAAAGAATATTTATTAGCAAAATACACGTGCATACCTTGCCGATATGAATCACAAACCATTCCGAAAGATAAATGTTATTTTTATGCGAAGAACAAAGGTTTCTTTTCTTTTCTTCTAAACAAATTCAAATATTTCGTATTTGTGAGAAATTGAACAAATGCGATAAGATATTCGAAAAACATACGTTACTATTCACATTTTAAAACAAAGCGGACGTGTCTATAATCTTTTGTTGCGAATTACTCACAAATAGAAATGTTTGAATTTGTTTAGAAGAAAAAACGTAACCCACACTTTTTTGCATAAAAATAACATTTATATTCGAAATGGTTTGCGGTTCATATCGGCATGGGTATCATGTAAAACACCTATAAAACGTCAAAAAAATCCTATTTTGAGGAGGAATCACTCAACTAAACTACACGCATTATTAGTTGTGAGGTCAAATGGTCCTTATCTGTAGTTTTTATATCTGAGAAGAAAGTTGGTTGAATAGCAAGATCGCATCTGGATGATTATGTGTATTGGTCTGCATTCGCATAACATCAGTGATATTTGCTGTGTGAGAAAATCATTACTGAATATGCTGCCAAGGAAGTATATCTATTGGCTGTGCCCGGCGGGTTATTTTTATGTTGTGCTTTCTGAAGAGAGAGTATGTTCAAAGTTATAAATTACGAAAAACTGAGGAGAATTACGGGAAATCATGACCGTGCCCGCGTTGTGTGTGATTACTGTTAGCATGTATATGGCTTGTAATTCGACAGTGTACACTGAATATAATTATTTCTGATCGCTCTCATTTTTCAAATTCAGCAAATTTGTATATAATTTCCAGAATAGATAAGAAAAAGTGGATGCGCAACTAATTTCTCGCTTTGAATCTCAATCAAGTGTATTTGATACAAGAACCCAATGTAATTATCATCAACACATACAACTTACAGCTTAGACCTCCAGTAATGCCATCTCAGAAGCAGATTTTACATCACATCAGAGCCAAAGATTGACAACAAGCCTCATGATGTTTAGGCAACACGTACAACTAAGGGCTAAGTTAACATCTTGTAGAAAAACCTACATAATGTCAAAAGAAACCAGCATAATGTAAAAGAATCGGCATAATGTCAATATTGAAGATATGTGATAGCAGTGCGGTAAAGTGAACTAGTGTATTTTGCTATAAAATGCCGTCTGAATTAACCCTGTATATTGCTCACTAAACTAGTAGTGATGGCCGAAAATCAGGTGTTTTGGGATAAACAATTAGAAATTCTCAAAAACTACTTGACCAATCTACTCCAATTTTTTTGTGGTTATTTAGAAGTACGAATCCTACGAATTTGAAATATTCCAAATATCTGCGAGAAACCATCGTAGCATTACCAACATTTGCAAAAACCTGCAGTTTGCCTCGGTTTTCGGCCATAACTTTTTTGCTATTAGTCGGATCTTTTTACGTGTAGTTTCATTCTGGATCTTATAAATACCTAAACAGTTTTCCCACAAAAATTGGTGTACCCATTTTATGCGTCCACATTTTAAATACCCCCTTGAACAACTTGCAATAAAACCAGACTTTACACTTATTACGCAGAACAGGTGTATTTACGTCTAATATTATTAGACTTATACGAGTACATATTTGCACAATAGTGTCCTACATACAAACTGAGGGCTCATCAGTAGTTTTTCTTAGCCACTTTTGTAGTAGAGTTTTTTGAACGGTGGCTCTGGTTTGGGCGGTTGCTTATGTGCGGCCGACGTCCTTTGTTGTTGGTCCGCCCGGTACATATACAGATGCATATGTCAAAATAAAGCTTCTAAATACCTCTGATATGAAAACCTGGCGCAACGACCCGTATCACGACGAATTGCTACAAGCATCACCGTGGCGGGAGGCGTAGCGAACGACAGGGGTTCAAATGATTATGCTGAGTTTGTGCAGAACATTACACTTAGGGCGGGAAACATCGATAGGACAATATCCAGCTTTTTTGCCTGAAAGTGGCTATAAAGTTCAAAAAAAGGCTGAGGGCTCATATAAGGGCATATGCGATCTTAGTGGCTGCTTCAGACTAAATACCCATCCCATTCAGGAAATTCATGTTTGCGTTGGCACGTAGTTGTGAATGACCCTCTAGATTGCGACAGATTTACTAAGTAAAGGGTGTATATGTGTCTTTACCTTTTGTAGATTTATTTTATAATAACGGCACCATGGACTGAGCCCAATAGGTTGACTGTTTAAAACTAATTTTCAGGTGTCCACCTATAAAGCCCAATACAGCCTGTCAGACTCCGTAGAAGGCTCCAAAGAGTCAATCCACAGTGACGAGTGCGTGGAAGAAGAACAGCGTTCAAGTTGCCTGTTTTTCGATGAGACCGAAATGGAGGAAACCGGAAGCAGCGATGAATTTGACATTTTCGATTATGATGAAGGGGAAGGAGCTGAGGGAGCAACTGAGGGAGCAGCAACAGAGGGAGAAGAAGGGGAAGGAAAGAAGAAGAAAAGGAGAAAGTCCAAGCCATCGACGGCACCGACAGGTGAAGGTCAAGCTTCAGAGCGACCTTCAGATGTAACTGTACCACCAGTGGCACTCACTCAAGCTGAAAAGCCGCAGGAGTGAGGTAGATGATGTTTTAGATACCAACGCGCAATTAGTAAATACATTTTTGCTTCTGTGTGTGCCTGAAGACATTTTTTTATTTCCCCACCTCATCTTTACAACGAATGAATAGTTTCCATCACCATAAGCAACAACAAAACACCCAATCATTAACCAAGCGCCACCATTCCTCGTTCCCAACAGAATGACATAACGACTCCCAGGCTGCAACCAGATCGGCTTATGATATTAAATCAGGGCTGCGAGATAAACGATCCTACACTTCGATTCCATGTTGCTCAAAGGACTCTTGAATTAACTGATTGCGATTTGCCGGTGCGTAGTCGAAATGATTACAAATAGTTGTATTAAACAATCTTCTGTATGCATAGCTGTCATTGTCTTCGGTCTGTCAACAAACCTGATTTGTTGGAAACAGCCAGAATCATTCTTTTTTCAGCCAACCGCAACTTTTTGAGCCGACTGAGTTTAATTTTCCAAAACCGAAATTCGGCTTGGTCCTTCAATCCAAAAAAAAATATATCATTCGTGATTATTGAATTGGCAGTGCTATACTCCCCAGATATCTAAGACTTTTAAGCTTCCTTTGTTATCCTCTGATCGTCAAGTTGCATTTCTAACGTACACCATGTCAACACAACGGGATCATCCGGAAAATGTCTTGAAAGTCCAAAGAGCCATAGCTCAGACTTGGACAAAAATGTAGTCTAATCTTTAAATTAATACTATTTGATCCCTTTTCATTGTAAATCTTCATTAGATACAATTGCTAAATACAGATTCTTCTACTTGTATTATTTTGCCAACACGGGCTTAAAAGCTTGCAAACATCATGTTTTCGTGCACCATGCCATAACACCCATTGACATTTCACTGACGATTCTAAATGTTATGAGAAAAGATAAAAGCAAAAATCCAGTTTCTAATTTAAAATCAGGCAAAAATTTATTCTTGTCGCATAACAGGAATAACCCGAAAGTGTTCGCAATTTACTCATATTTCGGAACAGAATAAAATCGGAACAAAGATATGAGGTGAGGCCTGATCAACTGAGTATACACTCAGTTCACAGAGTTCACTCTATCCATAGCATGGAATCCGTAGATATTTGTCTTAAACGTCTATGGGCGCCTGCTCTCGTAGGCCTATATCACACTTCCTAGTGCAGCTTGACCAACGGCTATTAATGCTAGAAAGTGATCTTTTATATTGAAATATCTTTTATCTTCTAACTTCTGCTTGACTTATCACTGTCACTGTTCATCAGAGTTTATGGGCTAGGAAAGTCTTTGAGCTGAGGATCATAATTTGCCTAACACTTCGTTCAGAAACATTGAGAATCTCTGCTAACTGTATATATGTGATTCGCCTGACTTTCATTGTAGCTTCCCCCTAGAAGTTTTGTGTTCCTTTTTGTTATAACTTCAGATGGCTGTCAAGAACGTGAATCACCTTCTGAACTTAATAAGTTGCATTTGAAATTTTTTTACCATCTTTCGACGTTCCTCAAGGACGATTTATGATCACGAGGTACTTTTGCTTTTCGTTGCCACAGTCTCTAGTTGTTAGGCCACGGCGAAAGTTACAGAAAATAATAGCACGATAAATAACAGCCAGGATCAAAATTGATTCAATAGATGAATGTTCATAGTTTTTTGTATATTATCCAAAGCGGGTACCACTAATGTAGGAGAGACCGGTGTCGATTGTAACAGGTGTCCAAAGTAACAGACTGATTACCAGCGACATCTGGCCAATATTGCCTGAAACGCATGTGCAGGCTAAACCAGACAGCGTACTTTTCCTTCAGTATTTAGTTTGAATAAATGCCTCGTGCTCACGGCGTGTTTAATATGCGAACGTTTATAAACCGAGCAAAAAGTGAATAAGCACAGTGACATAATTTTTCTCTAAAATTCTATAATTGAGTACTTCTGAAGTATTTCAAGGTAAGGATCCTTTTGTTTGTTCTTTGTGCTTTAACCTCTTTTAGATAGCGTTAGAAATAGTTTACGTATAAGTTAACAAAAATAGTCAATGTAATTTTTGGTTCTTTGGTGTCAATTGTAACACGTCCGCCGGTGTCGATTGTAACGCGTTACAATTGACACCGGCTCATGCCCTTTTTTGATAAACTTATTTTATTTTCAGTTTAACGAAACAATGGTTAAACCCAGGCCAAGAAACACTGAAAGAGGATTGATACCTAAAATAATTTACGATGGAGCTGCAAGAAAAGTAATTGATAACCACCAACCTGTGAGGAAAGTGGCTAAAGAATATGAAATGTGTCATGTGATCGTTATGTAAAATCTCTGCGCAATGATTTGCAGCCTAAGGTAGTATGCAATCCATACAACAAAGTTTTTACTGCAGAACAAGAATTACAGCTTGCTCAATATTGTGAAAGGACTGTACATCTATATTTTGGACTGACAACAAGAGATCTTCGTAAACTAGCGTTTCAATTTGCATATGATAACAAACTAACCCATCCTAAAAAATGGGATGAAACTGAACACGCCTCTGAAAATTGGCTTGCAGCTTTCCTCTCTCATTTAACCCTTCGCACACCCCAAGAAACAAGCCTTTCACGAGCCATGAATTTCAATAAAGAGGACGTATCCAGCTTCTTTGATAAACTATCATCAGTTTTGGAAAGGCATCACTTTGAACCTCAAAACATTTACAACATTGACGAGACCGGGGTGACTACAGTGCAAAAGCCAACTAAGGTAATAGCCAAAAAGGGAACAAAACAGGTGGGATCCATATCCTCGCAAGAACATGGAACACTCGTTACGCTATGTTTAGCTGTCAATACGGTTCCTCCAATGTTTGTATTCCCTCGTATCCATAGATCATTTTATTAGCGATGGACCCATTGGATGTATAGGGATTGTAAATAAATCCGGGTGGATGCAAGAAAATGAATTTCTTGCTTTTATGAAACATTTCGTGAAACTAATAAGGTACTTATTTTGTTGGACAACCACTCTTCACACGTTTCAATTTCCTTAATAGACTAGTGCAGAGATAATTTCATTACCTTGCTGTCATGCCATCCACACACATCACATAGACTCCAACGTTTGGACCGAGAAGTGTATGGCCCTTTTAAAAAGTATTTCAACAATGCTGCAGATCAGTGGATGAAAAATAATCCAGGAAAACGCATGACCATTTACGATTTACCTGGAATTGTAAAATCATATATTACTCTGGCCACTACGCCAAATAACATTATTGCTGGTTTTTCATGCACTGGTATATGGCCTTTCAACTGAGAGATTTTTAGAGATAGTGATTTTGGTCCTTCCACTGTAACCGACAAGCCACTACAAGATGAGAATTTAACTACAGGGGCTAATATGCCCGACATCGAGAATAGACATAAAAATCCAGAATCAGCAATAATAAGACAACCCAGTCCATTACGAAGTCAACCAGGACCATCCACAGCCTCAAACACTACTCCTCCAGCAGAATCACTATTAGTTTCCGAGAATAATTCATCCTTAGTTACGCTTGAAGTTCTTAAACCACTGCCGAAAGCAGATTCCGCTAAATCCAAAAAGGGAGGAAAAATGAAACAAAAAACGGTCATACTAACCGATACACCAGAAAAACTTTTAATCGAAGCACAAAATTTGAAGAAAAAAGTCCCAATGAAATATAGCCTTGATCAAGTTCAAAATGTGAAGGAAAAATCGCTGCAAAGACACAAAAAATAAGAGTAGGAATATATCCAAAAAGAAAAGTGCACCGAAAGACGACACTTTTTCAGATACTTTTGACGAACAAACCCTCTGTTTGGTATGTTTTGGCCCATATTCTAAGAGCACAGAAGACTGGTTGCAATGTCGGGAATGCAATAAGTGGGCACATTTAAATTGTTCAAGTAAAAGTCCATTTTATGTTTGTGTAAATTGTAACTCTGACTACGACGACTAATTATTAGAATTATCTAAGAAGATGTAATGAAAAAGTTTATTTTCAGTATGTTATGTTTCCTTTTGCATTGTTTGATGTTCTGTTATTTTTGATATTAGATTTGGCCAAAGAAATAAATGTTAATTTTTACTATTTACGTCTTTATTTGTCATGCTTTACCTTTTTAAGTCACTGCGTGGATCTGTTACAATTGACGCTGACCCTGCTACTATTGTCACCTCCTAGGTAACAATTGTAACTCTTGTAACTGTTCCCTCAAAAGCATTACCATTTCATATTTGCGACACGAGTACTGTTTTAGAATTCAAAACAGTTTTCTCTGGATTGCTGTACTTGTGATTACGGTAAATTGAAAGTTTTAAAAAGCAACCAGAACTCAGAAAATAATAAAATATTAATTTTGTTACAATTGACACCGGTCTCCCCTACTAAAGAAAACAAACTACAGTATATTCAGATAAGAGATAGACCGGACATAAACAAGACCACGTGATCATCGAACGCTGTAACATTCGGCAGGGACGTATTAAGAGTCACGCAGTACATATTTTAGATAGTAGATGCTGCTTTGCGTAACTTTGTAGTAAATTAGCACAATTCGATGTGTATACGATTGGTGATGGATATAGGATCATGTGGGGGTGGGGTAAGAAATATATAATGATGTAAATATACATAAGTGTTTCAAAATTTTCGCTTCGATTTCCAGCTTCGGAGGCCGCCTATGTTTGGTGAAATACAGTCGAATATAATCTCAAAATGGCGTTTAAATTAGCCTAAATTAAAAATAATTTTATATCTCTTAAAATTGCTTTTAGAATATTGATTAGTATATTTTTTGATTTCTAGGTAAATATGTAACCAAATTAAAACGTTCAAAACGTAAAAAAATGTGCATGGTTGAACATTGTCAGAAAGTAGATTCTTGAATAGGTTTTGCCAAAATGGGTTCAAAAATGTCAATAATTAATTAAAAAATACAGTAGCTTTATAATTACTTATAACTTACCGAATTTGATGAACGACATCTTTTATTGGAAAGATGAGCTTGATGAGCTTTCATCATCGCTACTGCCTGAAGCACCAACGTCAATAATGAATGGCTCGGCTTGTTCCTCTAAAATATTGTCCAGTTCCCACATTCTCTTTTCAACTTTGTCTTTCACGTGCTTAATACAGTTTTCCCATTTTTGCGCTGTTATTAATTCTAGTGCTTCTTTGAAAAGTCCTTTGAGGTCACAAAATTTAAAAGTTGTATTGTGCTTAGCTATATAATTTTTAACCTCTGCCCATATGAGCTCAATGGGATTGAGCTCGCAATGGTATGGAGGTAAAGGGAGCACAGTTTTATTTTGACTTGCTGCCATTTCGTCAATGGCGTATTTTTGATATTCCGCCTTGTGATCCTTGACAATTCTTAATAATTGTACTTTCAGCATTGTTTCTTCAAAGTTGATATTTTTCGAGCGGAGCCAATTTTGAACATACAACTTTCCTTGAAGCCGTTGTTGGGACCTTCTCCATTCTTCGAGAATGATAAGGCGCATTATCCAACACAATTACTGCGTTTTCCTCTAAGTTCGGTAAAATTTTTGAAAACCACTGTTCAAACGATTCGCCATTCATTTCCTCGTGGTAATCTCCAGTTTTCTTAGACTCAAAGCACCACAGACCGTCAACAACAAATCCATCCTCACTGCCAATATGGCAGATAATGAGCCTTTTCCCTTTACCTGGAAATCGAAGTACTAACTGGTGTAGATTTATTTCAATAAGCGAACCTTTTTCAAATGTTTTCCTCACATTCAGCGAAAAAACATTGAGACATGAGTATCAGATTGATATAATTGGGATTATTTAGTCATATTGAAAGAAAGAATATTGAACGTCGTATGATTACTCAGCGCTTCACAATTTAATTTAAAGTTATAAACCTTTAAAAAATGAATGATCAGGAACCTGAAATACGTGCAAATATTAATATTAACAAATTATAACTTTATAAAGCTTAAAGTATGAATTAAAATGATTAGAAATATTCGGAACGGTACACAATATAAAACTTAGTAACTTTTTTTAAGTTTATAATATTCGACATATTTTAAGATTATATTAAAAAATTATTGAAATATCGAAAACACATAAAATCATGGCTTAAAAAAGTTCTAACAAATGAAAATGACAATAAAACATCCACGCATTTTATCGAAAGTTATTAAAGTTTTGTTACTTGTAATATGTTTTATCTGCCCCCTGGAATTAATGTTTAGAACCTTGTTCCCAAGGTTTGAAAAACATCCGATTGTTGTCTATTACTCGTATTTACCTGCTGGATTTTTTAATCCGGTGGACAGTCCATCTAGAAAGGCCCTCCTGGATGAAGTTACAGAATCATCAACCCATACTTTACTTGTAGTGTGTCCTGCGTTTACCCACGTTTCATCAAGGTAATAAATCTTCCTGTTTTGATTTCTATATTTCCCAATTTTTGTTAAATAATCCCTCCTCCATAGCACGATTTCTTCTCTATCCAGTAGTAAACTATTACGACCCCGTTTTTTCCATTTGAAATTTAAATGCTTCAGTAACGCATGGAAAGTTGATCGTTTGAAATTTGGCAACGTTGTATCTCCATTTACCTCCTGCAGTACTTTATCTATAGTAGGTATTTCATTCCTAAAGAAGAATTCATGCACTTCCCTCCTAATCGCATGCTTATCAGCTTCATCCAATGATTTAACAATACTTTTGCGATGTTTACTGGTCATTGGCTCAGAAAAGGTGTGATTTTTTTTGTATTGTCTTAACACATTAAACACTGATGCGCGACACACCCCAACTTTGTGAGAAACATTCACAACAATTTCTTTGATGGTTGATGCCTCGTTCTCCTCGCGCTCGATCTTATATATATTCAAAATGACCTCTTTCATTTCTGCACTCAGGTGTCTTTTTTTAGAGCGTTTCCTAGGTGGACTACAGGAGTTTACAACTTCATCGGCAGTATCTGTACTACTGGGCGTTTTGCGCAAGCAGTTGATAACAATAACAATCAATAACAAGGTATAACAATAACAACGACAAACTCAACAACTTAATAAGATAACAAACGAAAACGTCCAAAGAAATATCAAATTGCAATGATGCACACGACATACGTAACACGTCTGAACCTGAATGTGACTCTGCCTTGATACGACTGCTCTGCCGCTCGGCATAGGCATTTAATTGCGAATTGACCAATGAGGGCTCCTGTTTTACGTCGAGAGGGCGGCGTTAGCGTGAAAATCACCCGAACCTTTTGTTTACATCCGGTCTATCTCTTATCTGAATATACTGTAGCCGCGTTGTATTTGGTTGTCATATGACAAGACTTCTGCCGTGCCTTGCGTATTTCTAAGGCTGTTCAATGACCAACCAGGCGTAGATGTCCGTAAGATTTCGAACAATCTTTGAAATTAAAATAGCTGATACAAAGTCTCAATGTACGTGGCTTCACTGGATCAGTTTTTGTTGAGTGTTCATTGGACGATGCCGCTACTTTTTAAAAGGGCCAACAATATTCATTCATGCATTTCATAGAATTTGTATTCCTATACCTACATTCATAAATTCAAGTTAAGTGCTGGAATAAAGAGTTTATAATACGTATATTCTAAAATATTCAAATGTAAATATTTCATGAATAAGATCAGCTCGAGTTTTTTAAGTCGAAAACCCGCTTGTAGACCCTGATGCTTTGATATGCGCTACGATACTGCCATGCAACAATTAGTAAAACTGCATATTACTGACTAAATTCTGTTAAAATAATATTTTGAAAAACAAATGACTACAGAATTCATGAAAAATCTCGTTTCAACCGACGACAGTAAGGTCTTTGAAAACAAACTATGATAGGGACAAGACCTAACGTTTGTATCATATAGTATTTTCTATCAGGACAAACAACATGGTTCCACTTAATTGTCGAAATACGCGTGAAATAGCGTCTCACAGTAATAAACAATGCATTCGCAACATACCAGTCGAAGATTACATAACAATTAACCGGTGTAGTAAGACAACAGTTCTGGGTGAGTTCCCGTATTTTTTTTTCTTTTTTTTTGAGGGCTTTGCTGGTATTGCGTGGTGCAGTCTTAGAATTTGTATTTGCTTCTTCGCGCGAATTCAGCATGTTACGGGACCTTTCACACTATTGTAGTAACACACTTTATGAGTAAATGAAAATGACAAAAATGGACAAACGAAATATCACCTGGAAGTCAGGTAAATAAAATAATAATTTATTAACAAAATCATTGTACTGAAGAAGTTCACATTGTGATCGAAACGTTAAACAATAAAGAATATCTTCTTCAACACGTGGTTTCGATTGGCGAGAAAAATATGGATGATTAAAAATCATCTAACTGCAAGTTAGATTATATTACTCGTATTTGCATTATATAGTCACTACAGCAAAAAATGTTGCTGTGTATCTACTTAAAATTAGGAGGAAAACGAGATATTTGCCACCCTTGGCAGGATAATTTTCTACCCTTTGAGCGTATTGGTGAGCAGCACCAGTGCTTATTCTTGAAACATTGACTTATCTATCATGCAGACAAATATGACTTACCTCACAAAATTTTGCTCCATACTTGGGGGGCGGTGAGTCACAGAAGCGGTATCTACTTCTAGTACCTCCTATGCAAGTACTTGAACAAGGCGTCCAAGCACTCCAAGCGCCCCATCCGCCATTGTCTCTATCTGTAACAATACATACCCTGGTTGAGAAGTAAGCCATTATTTGACAATCACTTTTAGATTCTGAAGCGTGTAGCGCCCAGAGATCTAACGTGCGAGATCAATAATGGTTTTCTCAAGTGAGATATGTGTATATATTTTTCACTAATAGCCATTTGCACTACTACGTAAGTATCAATATGTTCGGTGTATGTCCTGCTAAATCGTCTTTCCAAGATCTACGGCTTATCAAAGATTATTCGTATGTTGAGGTGGACCACAAATTAGGTTTCTGTTGTACAGCTCCGATTTGGAAAACTTTTAGCTGAGTAAAGGTTAGATTTGTCAAGAGTGTACATATAGGATAATTACGTATGCTACTTCAACTTTGTTGATTGACTTGGTTGTATATCCATAAAAATATATGACATTGCCAGAATATTCTCAACATATTCCAAAAAATAATCCTAATAGTAGTTAAGTACTTGATGGCAGCAACCCATTATTATAGGTAGATGAAAAATCATATCATTACAGTTACATGCGAAATCTTTGAGTATGTCATATTCATACACAGCAATTTCCTTATATCAATTTTATTATTTTCTCAAAATATCTACCTGTATATTCATGTTTCAAATATTCCACGTTTCAAACAGTAATTTGATATTTATTTGTTTATTTATTTACTTATTTATTTATTTATTTATTGAAATCCAAATACAACGAAAACTAAAAACTAAATCACTTCACTGCAAACGCCCTTAATATTCGAAATACTTGTATTGAACAAATCAAATGTACTCTGTAGACTATTATAACGTGAACGCATCTAGTACAAAGGTGAGTGCAACAGTAAGTTAGTTCGTGGGGTAAAAAGTGAGTGTATTGCGAGTAACAAAATTTGGAGGATCAAAGTTAATCTGTGCTAGAAATGATGGACAATCGTAACTGCTATGCACTACTTTATGCAGGAATGTTAGCGAGTGAATCTTTCTTCTGTTATCAAGACTGGTAAACTTGTGCTTACATAACAGGTCTTCCTATGGGTCCCCAATAGGTGGGTACGTACCGTCAATTTTAAATGAAAGAAATTTCAGAAATTTCCGTCGATTCTTCTCCAGAGAGCCACAAGTTGTAACATAGCATGGATTCCATATTAGCCGTCCATATTGTAATTTAGACACTGAATGAATTATAAAGCATAATCATCGCATGTCTGTTACTTAAGAGAGTTAAGAGTTACGTATTACAAATCCTAATAAGCTGTTGACAGCATTAATAAGGTACTCAATATGAGGTTTACTCTCAGCAGAGAATGATCGCCAATTTTCTGGTCAAATGCAATAATATCTAGCTTTCTGGTGTAAGATATAACACCACACTTACTGTAGTTGATTGGAAGTCGATTTACAGCCCAACATTTAACTATTTTGGCTAGGTCTTTTTGTAAGCGTGCACAGTCAGTGGTGGAAAAAATTGGAAAAAATTGGAAAAAATTGAAAAAAAATTTCAGATCATCAGCATAGATTAAGTGGCTGCTGTCGATGTCGCTAATAATATCGTTTATGAACAGTATGAAAAGCAAAGGACCGAAGCAGGAGCCTTGAGGTACCCCTGAGGCTGGGAAGAATTTAATGGATTTGACACCTTCATATTCAACATATTGCGTTCTTCCTGATAGATATGACTTAAGAAAGGGTAACAGTTTGCGGAGAATCCAAAATAGCTCAGCTTCGTTAATAGAATACTGTGATCAAGTTTGTCAAATGCTTTACTAAAATCTGTATAAATTACATCCACCTGACTATTAGCATCTAATGCAGAGGATTACTGACTGAGTAAAACAGGCTAGGTTAGTTATAGTTGATCTACCCTTCATAAAGCCATACTGAGAAGTACTTATTTGGGAATGTATATTGTGGTACGAGCATAGGAAATTATGAAGCAAAGTTTCTAAGGCCATGGAAAAGATACATACTAGGATTATCGCTCTATAATCACCCTTCTTGAAAATGGGACGCACCTTTGACTCACACCAAATTTCAGGAAACGTGTTAATCTTTAAACATAGGTTGAAGATCTTTGTCAAGTGATGAGCTAAGACGCAGGCACAGTCACGCACTAAAAATGATAGGGTTCCATCGGGTTCGGAGGTAAATTTATTTTTCATTTGCTTTAACACTTTAAAAACTTCTTGTTCGGAAAAGCTCTGAAGTATTATGTTAGTATGTAATTCCGGAATATTGATATCTGTTGCGTTCGAGAGCATAGTATATACAGATTGAAAAAATAGCGCAAAAGCATTAGCAATTTCATTGGGTTCGTCATACTGTTTACCATTATAGTTTACTTGGCTGACTGTGAAATTTTGTCCCCTTTTATTACAGATAAATGACCAGAATTTGTTCGGATCCTGAGATAAGCTACTTTGGATATCTACTAGATATTTTTGATATGCGTTACGCTCATCGCGCTTAATTTTGGTCATTAAGACTTTGAACTCAGTGTGTGTGATCAAACTTTTATCCTTTTCAAGTTTTTTGTGTAGTAATTTTTTTCTTTTAAGATCGCTAATCATTTCACCGTTAAACCAAACTGGAAATTTGAGAGATTTGAGACTTGTGCTAGGGACACACATATTAAAAGTTTTATGAAGAATGTGATAAAATGTTTCCAAAGCTACGTTTACATCTGTCAATTTGTCAAGAAACGTCCAGTCAACCAAGCTTATTTGTGCATATAGTGCTACAAAATTGGCTTTTCTGAAATTATAAAATTCTCTGGCGCGTTTGATACTGTTTTTAGAATGGAAGATCATGTTGATTATCATGACAAGCGGAGAATGGTGAACATCCTCAGGTAGTAGATCATCATAAGCCTTAACGACGCTACATTGTTCATTTGATAACACTAAATCTAATAGCCTGTTATTTACATTGCGAACATCATTGAATTGAGAAAGATCTAAGAAACCCATAAATGACTGTGAGAAGATTGGAGATGATTAATTTTCATTAACAAATTCGGGAACATTAGAGTCACCTAGAATATAAATACTTTTTCTAAAGAGGTAATCAAGCGATTCTAGATGCTCAAAGAATCTTTCATAGCAGGAAGTACTCGTGTCAGGCGGTATGTATATCACAAAGAAATAAGTCACTTCATTTTTATATCTAAGTTTGATTCCAATTATGTCAATACTGGGAATATCGTCTCTAATAAAAGTCATATCTACCTCTGATGCAGCAAGTTGATTACGAATACCAATTAAGACACCACCTCCTCTAGTACACCCCATCGCAGAGAAATTTCTGCCCGCTTTAAATACAACGTATTTGTCAGTAAATAATTCAGAAGTTCTGCAGCCTGCAGCCAAGTTTCAGTACAACAGATGATATCATAGCCAGACATAGCGACATTTACAAAGAATTCTTTACACTTAGAGTTCATTCCGCGTACGTTCTGGTAGTAAACAGAGATGCGACGATCAGAAAAGGTAGAAACTGTTACAAAATTCTGAGTATTTATCTGTTCATAGGGGGTTACACCGGGAAAATCCGAACTAAGAAAACAATAACTTAGCTTTAAACTCCTTAACTTTTTGTAAATAACATGGGCACCTAGAATCCCAAGCCGCATGTGATATACCCAACTGTTGAGTTGTCAAAACCAAAGCGCATTTTAGGCTAGAAAATTCACCTTAAGCAAAATAATTCTTTGACTTAGCTCAACTGTCTACTTGAGTTTCACTGCGGTTTCAATTATACCTGGTGCAAAAAATATCGGACTTAAAGTTAAGCTTAGCTTATAGGCGACTCTAGCAAACTGGTGCAACCGGGCATTGAATATTTTCATTGCTTAGTGTCATTTACCGCCACATGTATATAAACCAACGATAACGAAGTTTCCGTCTTATTCCACAAATACTATGACACATATATAGTAGTCTGGAGCAAAACTGATAGGCTCAAATGTATGGCATTCGAAGCAGACTTATTTATGGCAGATAAAATCTACTTCTTTCCGAGGGTATCTTTGTTAGTAATGACGATTCATCCTCTTCTTCTCTCCCTTCATCACTAACAATGTTACCTGTACTATTATTATACATAGAAACCTATTTCGCCTCTTATTGAAACATGGAGCACCTACTACTCTGACAAATCCATATTATGGGCATTGTGAAAAAGAGTTACCCAAACTGGATCTTAAATTTGAATATTTAAATAACAACTAAGTAGTTCAACGTCTAGACGCGCTTGTATTTAAAAACTACTGAAAAGCAAAGTTGGGGAAGTGCATTTTATAAAATACCGTTCAATTTTCGAGAAATGTTGTCTCCTGAGGAATTTCTATCAGATAATTCATTTTGAGGATTCTTGTGAGAAGGTTTCAGCATCCCCTATTCCTCAAAACAAACGATTATTTCGAAAAGAAATAAAGGAAGCTAATAAATAAAATTAAACACGATAGCTATACACATTGCATTTGGTACAACTTACGTGCTTATTTCTAAATTTATGAACACATAACGTTGGAAACCATAAAAAATGCTGATCAAACGCTATAACATCCAACCTAAAGGAGTTGAAAGTGACTACCTGTGGATTCAACACCAGCCCCTCAAACCCCTCAAAGACTCTCTGACTCTTTGGAAAATACCTGGAGTAGCACGAACAGGGCTGAAAGCCTTCTGTATACTCATACTTCGTATCACTTAATCCGAGGTGAGGAGAAGGAGAATTTTGAGAGAAGGCCGATAATTTCAGAGGTAAGATAGTAAGAATTTTACAAGAATTGATTGATTTATTTCAGAATTTTGCCTCAATATTCAATCCCGAATATCTCCAATACAAGTGACCTGACAAAAATTTACTGATTTTTTTTAGTCCTAACTCAGTCTTCTTTAACCGCTCCGCTCCGTAGGTATAATTATTTTTTTAAATTTCGTAAATAAAAACTTCATCACCCTTTACCTCGGTAGGGAAACATCTATGGACCCATATTAATACGCACCTTTTTTGTTATTTTTGGATGTAATTTCTACCCTAAAAATATTGGCACGGGTTTCTGAAAGACCCCGTATAGCTTCAGAGGGCATATTCTACTCACACCCACATTGCATCGAATAGGGATTATAAAAGATACACTTTTGTACCGGCATGCCAATGATCGATGTATTCACTTGAAACAGAGGAAATATTTGTACTTTCTACGTGTAGGTATATTTCATCTTTGCATCAATCACAAATAAATCCTAACGCCTCGAGGAAATAAATGTTCACTCGTTCGGGCTCTGACATTTTGCATCATTTCTCTTCCTACTCGATATATAACTCAGCGTGAAATATTGGAAATTACATTCACGTGATAACAGATGTTCTTCTCCCTTGATGACGCACGTGTGACTGTGCTTATAGACATAGATATTGAAAAAAAATAGATTGCCACAGGAAAAAACTTGAGGCAACAAATGGCTTAAGGCTCTATTTCGAAAAATTGGACATTAGATTTTATGTACATCGGTAACAATACTACATCACATACCCAAGTGGAGAAGTACGTCATTATTGGCCGAGAATTATTACAGTGTGTCTCAGAAAGGCCTACCTCCTACTTATTTTATGAGCAGCAAGTTGAAAACATGCGCAGACTGCACAAGATCTTGTTTTGTTATGGGTGCCTCAGGATTTGGAGTTATGGTTTTTGTATAGATGGGTTCTTGATGTACCCTTTAAATAAATATGTAACCTGTGAAGCTGTCGCCGCCCAAGATAAAATTTGAAACATTTCAGGAAAGCAAAACCATGAAACGAATTCAAGAATGTTTTTAACAAAAAAATTTAGGATTTTAATTAAGGGCATATTTGCTATGCGAAAACTTCATTCCTAGAACGAACTGGCTTGGATGCGTAGCAGCTATTCGTGTCAAATAGATAACAAAAATACTCATAAGTCTGTATAACAATCGGCACAAAACTCAGCTACTATGATGTTTCAATGCATTTTACAATGATTATTATTAAGCATATCAATTCAGTCACGCACAACCTCTTAAAATTAAAAATAATATTTCGAGTACTTTCGAAGCTAACACTATCTGAGGAACCATATCAATAGGGGACATTCTTTACATGTAAATAAATTGCGAGACCAAATTCATGTTTTTGTCACTGGAACCTAACGTTTTTTGCTTTTAAGTACGGTATTGTAAAATAGATAAAACCACTGTTGTCAGTGTGCCGAAGCGGCATATGAGATTGTTCATAAATTAATATCCTAAGTTGGCCAAGTGGCGACCAATGTGAGGAGGCTCCACTTTTGTTTTTGTTCCAACGCAGCATATCATACCGTGTTGGTACCAACGTTGGTTCCAATATGTTGGCCTAATATGTGACATTTACGAACTTCTGGAATGTCAAATCTCTGAAATAACTGCACATTTTTCTTTCGCAACCAATGTATTCGAATATAACGGGTGATTTTTTAAGAGGTATAGGATTTGATTAAAAAAAACAACGCAAAAAATTTGAAAAAACGATTAAATCTCTGAGTCGATAGAACGGTCGATATAATTTAATGTTTGAAGATTATTTCATGTAAATGTTGGCCGCGGCTCCGCTTTAGATGGCCCATGCGCAAGGTCCAATTTTGGCACACTCTCTCCAACATATCGGCCGGTATCTCACGAATAAATGCTTCAATATTGGCTTCCAGTACGACAATCGTTGCTGGTTTATCCCTGTAGACATTAGCCTTAACATGGCCCCACAAGAAATAATCCAACGGCGTTAAATCACACGATCTAGGCGACCAATTGACGGGCCCCAAACTCTCAATAGGGCCATTGTTTCGTGTGTGGTGTGGCATGTGGCACCGTCTTGTTGAAACCACATGTCAGCCAAGTCCAGCTCTTCCATTTTGGACAAAAAAAAGTTTGTTATCATGGCACGGTAGCGCTCGCCATTCAGAGTTACGTTCCGGCCATTGTTGTCTTTGAAGAAGTACGGCCCGATGATGCCACCGGCCCATAATCCACACCAAACAGTAATTTCTTCGGGATGCATTGGTAGCTCTTGCAATGCTTCTGGCTGGTCTTCACTCCAGATGCGGCAATTTTGCTTGTTAACGTACCCATTCAACCAGAAATGAGCTTCGTCGCTGAACACAATTTTTCGATAAAGATGACAACAAGTTTGACAATGATACAAGACACGATTCACGCGTCATCTGTCAAAAACAGTGTTGCCAAAAAGATACTAGCAAAAAAATCACCCATTATTAGAAGGAGCCAGGCTTATATGTTTACATCGCATTTTGTCACCAAAATTGCGTTTTAGTGCATACTTTCGACTCATTTGACTAACTTTGCGTACCAAAGTGGCAACGTTGCATCAACATCATAATAATGATACATACTGACCGGTGAAAACATCTACCTTCATTAGGCTTGTGCCGCTCTTTTCAAATTATGGAAGGAGTACATTGTCTTGAAATCGTCAAACGCCACAATTATCTGAAAATCACTTTTAAAATACATGAATTTTATGGCAGAATTGAAATTGACTTAGTAGTAGTATGCACTTTCATTCTGACTGCAGACTGAGACTTTGAGGACATAGAAATCGTAGGCTTGCTCCTTCTATCTAGCCTGAATTCGTTGCTTGCAACAATGGTAACATCATTTATCCTATAATCTAGACAATGTTTTACACTCTTTAGGAACTCAAAAGTTCTTGCATTTTTCTTATAAAAGCAAAATGCTCGACCATGCAGAACCTTGCACCGGCGACATGACACTCTGTTTTTCCGACGTATAATATTTTCCTCGATTATTTTCCACACCGTATGTTCAACTGTTCAGCGAGGCTGAGAATAAATTGTTCCGTTCTTTGTTGTAAAAAGTTTATGCACCGAGCGCCGTCTCTGCGTCTGACAAATGAATAGAGGACAAATTGATGCTACAAGTTTTGTTGGAGCAACTCCGACTACACTTGGATGAAACATTTCTCGTTACACCGATAATGTAGGAAGATGTTGTTTTAATAGAATCAACAGAATTTTTTGTTGGAAGCGGAACATTAATGGAGTTGCAGAAAGCTTATGCGTTACTGTTAATGTTATGAGCAAGCAAGCACTGCCTGGTAATGTGGATGTAGCTAAAACGGTTTACTGCATTTTCCGGAAATACTAAGCTGCAATTTTGTTCATTTTAGTGAATGCGCAAAAATGTAGCAATATTTCTTGTTTATAAATAGGAATCTCAAATGTTTGAAGAAATGATAAAAGACAAGGTTTTAGTATCTTCTGGATATGCCGCTGGGATGCTACGAGGGCTGTACATTAAGTGATGATAGTGATTTTTTTTAAATTTTGTTATTCAAATATAATTACAATTTTATATTGTCACTCTCAAAATAAATTCCTTCTGACGCCATATGACGCTGGGAATAGTTCTTCTACTCCTCATAGCAGTGCATACAGCAATAGCCTTCAGCTGGCCGGTTTCAGACGTTTGAATGTCTTCGACCACCAACATGAGTTTCTTGGAGATCATTTTTCATCTTTTGGAAGAAAAAAAGGCGAATAAGGGGACTGAGGAGCCACAAAAATGTTCTTACTGACCAAAAACTCGTCTATAGACATTGCATTGTGACTAGGAGCATCCCCAGTTTGTTGTTCTTGATCTGATGAACGGTGGTGTGAGTCAATTTAACCCTTCACCGATCACCCTGACTGTCTACTGACGATCTGATTGAACAAAATTTCAGATTTTTTCGATATTTTAATCGGTTCTTGAAGATGAAGGCCTTCCGCTTCGTGGTTCATCTTCAATCGACTTTCTCTCTCTTGAAAATGCCTTGAACCACCGACAAACCTTGGCTATTGACAAAACACTATCCTTGTAGGCTTGCAGATATTTTGGAAGAGTTACCGTTACACTGTGCCCAAGATGATGCAAAATCAGTTTTTAGAACCCAATAGAAATAACTGTTTCACAAAGAAAATCGCTACGGATAACCAAATCACTCGAGCGAGTTCAAACTTGTACTGAAGCCTAGCGCCTCCGGTGTTGCCGGATCGAACACTACGTTGCCAATCTCAACACCTAATTTACAGTCTTCGCATATATCCTCTAAGGCTTTTTCTCCATTCAACTTTCAAGTCAGGTAACTATGATTTGGAAGTTAACTATCAGTTGTCTATGAACTCATTTTTCAAGTTCTCCTATTCATGGTCCTTTGGTTGAAGTTGACTACCAGTTTAGGACAAACTTGATATTGAAAAACACTTTTTGGAAGTTCACGTCTGGTTAGCAGACAGTTCCAGTTAACTTACAATTGAAAAAGAGGGTCTTAAGGAAGGTAACTTCGCACCATATAAAGTATCATCCCAAGCTATAATTTCTGCAGTATGGTGCAAGGGACACTCAAGTGAAAGATTCACATCATGTCTTTCTCCGAAAAAGCTGCAGACTCGTGCTTGTCCATCAAGTATCCCTAAACCAGAACTGAGGCCGATAAACTTGGTATAGAATAGCATAACATTGTAAATAGTGATGATCACGGTTTTGGAGTACACCATGAACGACCACGATAAGATATAAGATAAGACATATGTATAATGTTAAAAGTAATTCAAACATATGTGGTTCCGTTTAGTGTCCAGACAATCATTGGGTCCTATCAGCTTGAAAACCACGGGATAAGTTTCAAATGTTACAATAGTAAAAATTATTTGGCTGAGATCACATACACCATGCTGTAGCAGTTATGGTTTAGGGAGCAACTAATATGGTGCTGGTCACTTCCAGCCTCTATTAGAAGCGTGACAGTATATCTAGGAAATACTGAACCCTCACTTTCAGTCATTCCTTTAAACCCGCCAAGAGACCATTTTCTAACGAGATATCCCATACCCATACTACCTCAATGACGCTCAAGTCAGCCGCCTTCCTCCGTCTACGCCTAAAGTCCTTTCGCCTATTAAATAAGTGTGGAAAGAAGAGTGACCTGTTTACCTCATCTTCCACCAACTCTGATAACTTTTAGTGACCAGGTCCAACTAGCTCGGAATGATGCATCTCCAGAAGACGTAGGTCACCTCATCAGAAGCGTGCTTTGATTGGGCTCAACACATTATTATGCAAGAATTATTTTCAATTCAGAATCAATTCAGTCACTACTTCTTCTTGCTCACGTCTAACTGTGCCTATACAAAATTTCATTCAAATAAAATCAGTTTTACTGGATGTTCTATTTTCGTTGCCACGGAGTGGACGTTGGATGTGTTCCTAACAGTTTCTCGATAAATACGTCTTTGTATATACTAACAAGGCAAGCGAACGGGTGAAAAATAACGGATCTTGGTAAATCTTTTCAAGTATACCTCAAGTTGATAGACAGACACTTGAGAGATGCTCAAAAAGGAGCTTTACGGTAAATAAAATTTGTCAATAATATCACACACGCTTAAGATTTACAAGTTTAACCTTCTCATTATCTTTTTCAATCTATCACAGAAAGCATCATTTAACTGTCAAGCGGGATCTAGTCAACTCTCTTACCTTATTAATCTGCAGCTCAAGCGTTTGAATCCCCAAATTCATTAGCGCAGATAGGACAGGTCAAGTGTCCAGTGGCGGAAAGTCTTATAATCCAGAATTGTTATCAGGCCGAGCCACTAACCTCCCAAAAACCCTCCCGGTTCCGCTAAAGGACGCTTCGGTAGCAATTTGAGGGAAATCCGTCGTGCTTGACGAATGACGGGATGAAGCTGTGTAAACTTAATTAATGGCAAATAATAGAGGGAGGCAGAAGTTCGTAATTGTAGGAATATTCAAAAGACCTCTTCCATCTTTACAAGCTGTTCTTCAAGTTGACCTGATAGTATTTTGATATGTCTAAGAGATTGAATTGAGATGAAAATTCGAGTCTACGTTTGTTAGTCATGAGAATAGATATAGATTATATGCCATCATTTTAAATCCAGTATGACGATAAAAATAGCAATTTATGATTTCCATACCAAAAGTGACAATTCTAAATCCAATACGGCTGCTGCCGCAAAATGGTGATTTATAATTCCCACGGTCACCCCTATGATATGGATATCTGATGAAAGGTATTAATTAGGGAAACAGATCAGGGTAAAGTGACATCATTCCAATATGGTAGCTGTCATAAAATGAAAAGGTTTGATGACAGCAACACAATAAGCATTTATTTGATCCATTGAATAATCCATGTTATATACTCGTACGTATATGCGATAAGGTCTTACCTGGCACAGGCATGGTGGGCACACAATCCATCCTAACATCAGCCACCGCTCCCGTAATAGCCTGGCTAACATACACAAAGCAGTACTCGACGTACTTCTCCGTGAAGAGATCACAGTCGAAATGGAGGCTGTGTCTTCCCCTCTGGACCTTTTGCTCCTCTACGTACTCCAACGTCGAGGGCGGCTGAGCAGCTGCCACGTCCGCCCTCAGCCTTGCGAAGAGTCTCACCCTATCGCTTTCGGCCAGGATACACGAGGGGTATTGGAAAAGGACTGGCACGCCACCGCTGTGCGCGTCGCAAGGGAAGATGCTGCGCGCGTGTACGTTGAACACGAATTGCTCGCTCCAGTCCACCTGGAACAAAAGAAAAATTGTGTGAAGTTCAGGTCTTTTCATGGTTTTTGGAGAGCCATAGTAAGCTTACATTCTATATAGTCTATGATCCGAACTATAAACGACCTTCACCCTCAGTTTCATGGACGACAATCAAATTTAGTATGTTAAAAAATGTATCGCTCGTGGAATGGTTAAAAAATCCATACGAGACTATGATTAACTAAAAATTGAAAATTTATTTTTTTTGAAGTTGCACTAAAAAGCTTAACAAATAAATATAATACCAGCCCAAAATATGAAGCGTGTAGAATATGCAAACGGTGGGTTGTCTATTTTTTTCCCTGATGTAACTACTGGGTTGGCAGGTATTAAGAGGTATGTTGATACTAGTTATTTGCATTTAATAAATAAATGAGAACCTTTTTACCGCAAACACGGTGATATAGGGATGTCTGCAAAAAAACCTGACTGGAATGATGATTGGCAAGTCTTTAAAAGTGAAATTTTCATGAGACTGCAAACTTGTGACAAAGAGGTTTAAGTCACCTATGCCATGCCATAGAAGAGGATGCAGAGGATGCATGTGAGTGATTAAGCATTACTTTTTGGTTGTGATCAATATAGAAAAAAAAAGAAAAACTCAGCGCATAAAGTTGTTTTAATTGATATATTGCCCAATCAGACAAAAAATAAAATAAAAACGTTGTAGCATTCTGTATAGTGCGGTAGGTCACAGTTTGAATTCTATTATTCCTTAATTATTGAGGTATCCGACGATCTATCGAATAATAATTGAATGAATAGCTTTCTCCTCCGCAACTGTTATAGCTAGAGTAATCGAACACCCGGTGCATTTTGTGCTAACCCAAATTGTAACTATTTTAACTATTCAAATAGTGACCTGACGACATGTCCGTAATACAAATAAAAAGAAATCTGAATCATGTTCCAGCTGTACTCCTGATGGAAATCTCTTAGTAAACTCGATCCCAGTGCAACGTAGGTCGAGGGCCGCGAGTTTCTTGACCAAACAAATCTATCCCATATATGCTTATTTTCTTCTGGAACGGATATGGGTTAAATCAACAGCTTATGTTGCGGAAAAATGTAGCAAAGCATACGCAATTCAGAAAATATTGTAGGCTATAGCGGGTATTGATTAAATCACGTCTGCTTGTAAAGAGAGAAAGCAAATGCATGCTGTTTTCAAAATATGGACCTATTCAAGATAGGAGCTACTGCTACCTAGACGAGCCCAGGGCCAACTACTTTTTCTACCATAACCCGTGGTCTACAAGCTGCCGAAATATCTGGCCTAACTGCTTCTTTGAAAATCTCGTTTTTTCGAAAAAAATTATTGAAATGCAGCAGACTGATTTATTTAAAGTCGCTTGAGAGTCTGTTATAAGACCAGGATATGTTGAACTGCAGAAAAGAATGTGTTGACGGATTTTACAACAGAAATACATGTTTTAGGGTAAACAAGACAGATCTTCATCTAGAAACACAAATCATATTTCTGGAAACTTTTTAATTAACCGTCAATGTTGCAAAAAAGGTCACATATTCAAGAAACTATCCTTCGAAATGTGACCCTCTACACATTTTTTATTCCAAGCAATCGCCAACTTTCAAATTTGTTTTATACTAAAAAGTGCAGGACATAATATCGGACATCCGAAAGAGAAGTTCATAAAGCCATAAGATTACATTGCTGAGAAAACGCGATTCAAAATTTTTACCATCACATTGTTGCTGCCACATCTCAGCAGTAAGTGTTACTGTCATGGGATTAAAAATCTACAATGTATTACTACAACTGTTTCAATAGGTCTCAAAACACCTATAATCGCCAGATTCCTTCCGAAATATAAAAATTTCAACAAATTTTTAAATACGATTCGCTTATTCTGAATTCCTGTAGTGTATATGTCACTACGGCGACATTGAAACGTGATGACAGGTAGCGTACTTTTTGAGATATGACGTTTTACCACTCGCGCGGCGATTTAGTCACTTTCACGCTCTTGAAATCTAAATATTGTAATGAAAACACTGTTTTTACTATCCGAAGTCAAATTTACTACTATAGACTAATTTATAAAACTTGCAACAAATTTATGACAAATTTATACCCATGTTGAGTGGACTATGTTGACGCATCGGTCGCTGTTGGTTGACTGTCTTTTTTCCAATGTCCCATAGCCCATATATTTAGGAATCGACTTATCCCGTTGGCAACCTTGAATCCTCGATCACTCACGCACGAGAACGCAATTGCCCTCAAAGCTTCGCAAACTAATTTTGCGAATGAATCTTTTCGAGATTCAAAAAAATTAACACCTGTACAAGTGTACGACTGTACAACCGTCAATAATTTTGATCATGAAAATAGACTTCGATGACGTTCTACGACTAAAAAAATATAATAATAATAATAATAATGTCTTTACTAATCCATCCACACTGCGAGGCGAAGTTTAGCCAGCTGGCTACTCTACCACTTATTCTCACATAATTTTTGTGCATGAGATAGTTCAAAGCGCCATCTATCGCACCAGAATCGACCATTGTGGATCGCCCATCGCTGCTATTAGATGGATCTGTCATGGATCTCAGTTCGAGTTTAATAGCCGTACCGCTAAATTGCTCATGATTCTGGCTAGAAGTAGATGTGGTCTACTTCCCAGTGAGAAGATTAAGCAAGATGCTTTCTTATAGAATCTTTGACTTGTGTCACTTTTCTTCCGGACGAGCGATATATAGGAAAACTAAAATACTTTGTAGTGATTTACATCAAAAAAAAACTCAACAGGATCGATCATTTTTTTTAAATTCGTTTGCTTCTAAATCTTTCGAGGCCAATGGTCATTTTTACATTTACTTTGAAGTTCAATAGAAATGTTACCCTGCAAAATAATCTGTATCTCTAGACGGAAGCCATTTTCGTTTACTCTTTGAAATATAATTCCATTGTTAAATTCATCTACAGATTTTATTCTAGAACAGGACACGTTTTTGGATAGCTGGCCTGATAGGCTAGTAAACAACAAGGTTTTGCAAAATCGCCTAAAGTGTTAGATAGCGCGCTACATTTCCAATCTATTTAATAACATATACATACAGTTGTTTTTAATCGCATCACAGTTTTGGGTCGTGGACTATTATGCAGATATAAAATTCATGTAAAAAGTCTCAAATGAAATATTTTTCATATGCCATTTGTATGGAATATGTTGCCCGGATTTAAAGGAGGCCTTATTATCAATGACTGTCAGATAGACCAGATTGAATTTAAGCGATGACAGAACCTTTAAGTCAACATTCACCTGTGCTTAAATCAAACGAACTTCAAATTAATAGAGGTCTGGTATATAGCTGAAGGTATTTCATTGGAGATATAGGCAAAATAGATGTCGCAATCGTTTGGGAAATAGCCAGCGGCTAGTTACGAGTGATTTACGATTTTCCATAGATTTACGGCGTGTCATTCGTGGCTATCTGGAACCAATTAAATATGGGCCACGAAGCCTCGGCTTTGGACTCTATCGGGATGTATTTATTAGGATATTGCACTTGAAAGTGCAATTGCGCTCTTTCAAAGAGGATTCATAATAGATAAGCATGTAGAAATACAGTATGTCGTTTTAGAAAAGATAACGACATCAAAATACTACCACATATACTAAGTGACATATAAATCCAAACACCCAGTTTAAATGGTTTTATTTTAATAAAAGTTGGTGAATGTATTTATCTTACTGTAAATAACAAGTGAAAAAATTTTCAGCCTTATCAGTTGGACATTCCGGTTTTTATACTGCTTTTTTTTAATTCACTAACGCTCTAAAAATGAATATTTCAGCCGCAGTAAAGAATCATCGTTGGCGGATTTTGGTTCTTGACATCCTTTACGATCGGTTACGATGCCTAGAGTACGGAGACCTGTACTATTTCGTCAACTTAGTGAGTTTGATAGGAGCCGTATAGTGGAACTTCGGGAAGCTGAACTTTCTTTTCGGGCAATTGCAGTTAGAGTGCAAAGAAGTGTAGACACTGTGGTTAGGTGTTGTCAGGCATGGCTTCGAGAAGGCCGTACGCAAAGAGCAAGGGGCACTGGACGCCGCCGTAGAACAACAGAGCGTGAAGATCGCCGCTTAAGATTATTGGCCTTAAGGGACCATTTCTCCACTACCAGGTCCATTGCAAATGAATGATTTGCAGAACACGGAAGACCTATTGGCATGCGAAGTGTTTACCGACGAATGAGAAGTTGTTGGCTTGTTTTCATACTGGCCACACTGGGTCCTCCCTTTAACTCGAGAACACCGACGTAATCACCTTGAGTGGTGCAGACAACGGTCACTCTGGGAGCAGGAATGGAACAGTATTGTCTTTGGTGACGAGTCTCGATTTTGTTTAGGCATGCACGATGGTCGTGCTAGGGTTAGAAGGCGACGTGGTGAAAGGAGGAATCCACAGTTTTTTGTTGAAAGACATGTTCATCACACTGTTGGAGTTATGGTTTGGGATGCTATAGCTTATGGTTCCAGGTCACTTTTAATCTTCATCAGAGCTAACATGAACGCGCAGCGTTATATCCACGAAGTTCTAGAACCCCATCTTTTACCCTATCTTGACACCCTGGCAGATCCACTTTCCAACAAGATAATGCAAGAGTCGCAATAGACTTCTTTCAACATAATGATGTCACATTGTTACCATGGCCACCAAGATCTCCCGACTTATCCCCAATTGAGTACGTGTGGGATATGATGGGTAGGAGATTGCTCAATTTGCAACGTCCTCCTCAGACTCTAGAAGCACTCCCAGAGGAGTTGGTGGTTGCCTGGAATGAGATACCACAGGAGGACATTGACCACCTGATCAGAAGCATGCCTAGGCGCGTTGGAGAATGCGTAGCACATTATTAAAGGTCAAAGGGCTTTAAAGCAGTGCAATCGTTTTGAAATTTTTATCATTTACTTATTATGCTTCATTAAGTACTTATACAAAATTTTATAAAATAAAACCATTTAAACTGGGTGTTCGGATTTATATGTCACTTAGTATATAATGCCTTTTATATCCCAGCCACAAATATACAAAACAATTATCGAATATATATCGAAACGTCAATAACTTGAATGTAGACGATAGAATCTGACGTGTAGCTCTGGATCATTCTCATTTTCAATAACAAGAAAATAAAATTTAAGTGAATTATTCTTACCGCGGCAAACTTTGATAATTTGCCACTACTCCAAATGATACGTACGATAAGTACGGCCTATAGCCCAGCAACCATGAACATATTGTAGTATCTGGCCCGGCGATAGCTTGGCAATATTTTTGCAATGTGTAGGCACTTACTTACACTTGTCAGAGTGCATCAACAGAAAGGCTTCAAAATCGGGTGAAAATGGTCGATAAAGTTGTACGCGTCGCGGCAGCCTACATTATGATTAGTAAGATTCCGCAGGGTTATTGTTTTACATCAGGAGGTACCTACTTTATTCGAACTCTTTCCCTCGGATTTATCTAGGTTTCCCTGAAAATCATTGGATCTCATCAGATTTCCTTGGATTGCTTCGGATTGTTAATTTTGGATTGTACGGAGGAATCCAAATATCACTGACGTCTAAATGTACACGAAAGGGAAGCGTGAAAAGCTTGAGGTATGTATGTTAGAAAGAGTGCATCGACTGCAACTAATCTAGCGTAAGTATTGCAGGGTCCTCGCGCTTTTCTCTCTCATACACGTAGCAACGACAGTGGTATGAGGTTTTTGACTGTAGACATATTGGATTAATTCTAGAAAAGATAAAATGACTGTTGAAATGTTACACAGTATGTTACCGTCTAACGGATTCAGACTAGGTAAGAGAAGCTAGTCTGTAGTGAAAATCAAAGTGCACTTGACAGTTCCGTCTTCAACTTCCTGAGTGTAATTTTTTTATAATGCAAGTGTTTGCAGGTAATTATGATGTTAGACGGTTCCAAAGCGTGCTACTTCTTAAATAATTTGCAAAGAGCAGCACAAGCCTAATGAAGATATGTTAGATGTTTCCACCGATATTATTACTATGTTGATACAACGTTGTCGCTTTGGCAACCATTGATAGATAAATGAGCCAAAAGTATGTACTAGAAGTACTAAAGTTGCGCAATTTTAGCGACAAACGATGGAATATAAACACATAGGCTTGGCTCCTTCAAATCTATTCGAGTTTGTTGTTACCACCTAAACCTAAAAAACGTCAAAACAAAAACCGACGAAATGTCATCTTGCAGACCAGGTAGTTGTTGATGTGCAAATAGTTCATTCCAAGTCTGCTTGCTACGATCGCTGTTCGCTAACGTTTAAGCAACACGTACAGCTACAAAACGAGTTCACAACAAGAAGTTAAAAATCTTGCAGAAAAACTATGAAATGTCAAAAAAAAACTACGAAATGCCAAAAAAACCGACGAAATGTCACTTTTAAAGATACGTAATACCCGCGCCCGTCTGCTATTTACACTACTGTCTCAGCTGCACAATGATCGTAACATACTGGATATGTATGATTATGACCGTGGCGGATATGGTATATTTCCAGGCAACCAAGGAGCACTGACGATATACCAATGTATTGCAAAAATCAAGGTTTTTATTATTTTAGCAGTATATTTATATTTTATCAAGATAGAAATGAGGTATGATAGCATTGATAGCTTCAAATGGTGAGCAGCTAAATATCTCATTATTTGACGGATTTAGCGAAACAGCTGTTGTGAAAGATGGTGCGTGTGAGTATACCTGCTGATCCCACCAGCTGAGCTATTTTAGTGGCTATCATGTTATTACTGAAGCCTAAATCCAGCAGTAACCATTCCAGAAGACCAGTAGACTACAAAGGGTTCAGATAAGACGATATCACATTCCCTCAAATCTCCACGGTTGCTGACGACGTGTAATATCAAAATAAATTACATGTTCTGGATTTTCAGTTGTGAATGAAATACGTTTAGTTAAAGATCAATTATGTGAAAACTTACTTTGACGTAGGCCGCTGTATGTGGCAAGCCAGGACTTGTTCCGGTAGGCCTTAGGAAAAGCGCGTAGTGCCCTGCTAGGCCAAACAGTTCACAACGTAGGTTCACCACTCTTCGGCCTGGAAAACCCCGAACTTGTTCGGAATACAAAATCTGCAACAAAGGAAAAATATGTTGTCATCGTAGATTTCATAGCTAGTTGTAAAAAGATTGACTTTTACGACCAACCACCGACGGCTCCAGGTTCGACACCGTCAGAATTCTTGAAGAATTTGGTTTGCATTACTAAACGTACACCTACTACGAAAATCATTAGTCAAGCAGAATCACCTGATACCTCCCACGACTTAACTTATTTGTTTAGTCTTTGTAGCAAATTACGCATGAATAATAAATACTATCATAATAGTATTTATTCAGAATGCTCACGAATAACATTGGGGTAAATATGAATCATCCCAGAGAAATCAACACAAGTTCCTTGTGCATGGGCCACGTGACTTTGCAATAAATCAAGTTTTTATACCTTGCACAACAAAAATTTAATAACGAATTGATATAACAATATAGGTGAAAGCTTTTTGTACATATTGTGTAGGTCATTTGCAACTTATACATGATTGCAGTTAAATGTTTGACTTCACCAGCGACCCCTTCATAGTCGCAAGGTTACTGTTTGGTGCGGAGTGTCGCGATTCGGCATAATTGGACCCTATCTTTTGAGGACGATGCTGGAAGTTCTGTCACGGTCAATTCGCAACGTTATCTGGAAATGTTAAACACATTTTTGGAACCAGAGCTTCGTGGACGGAACATAGATTTAAATACTGTATGGTTTCAGCAAGATGGCGCCACAGCGCATACTGCACGAGCATCAATGGTTCGACTGCGAGAAATGTTTCTAGGAAGAGTCATTTCGCGGAATGGAGATGTTCTTTGGCCGGCAAGGTCTCCCGATCTCACGGCTTGTGACTATTGGTTATGGGGTTATCTCAAAGCAAGGTATATTTAACGAGCCAAAGGACCATTGAAGAATTGAAGGAAAACATTCGCAATGAAATTAGCGCGATTCCGATGAGTATGGTACAGCGCGTAATGGGGAATGTGCGAAACCGTTTGGAAGAGTGTGTCCGCAGTGAAGGACATCATTTGACCGAAGTTATTTTCCATACATAAAATGGCATGTAATACACTTTCGATTACTTATATATGAAAATAAATATCTTGAAAGATACATTTGAAGTTTCATATTGAAACTCATCAGGTTCCTTTGGCGGACCCTGTATTTCGATTTTGAGTTTGACCTTGAGGAAGAGTTTCTTTTAAAGTCATTGTTTTCGAGGTTATTGTATTGATCAGATATTTGACCTCAACTGTGACGTCAGATCTAAAAATACTTTAGAGGTGGAGAACTCATTCGAACGTGAAATCTTCCAATATATGCATGTACTTCCAATGGCAAAAATATAAGATCCCTGATATGATCTCACTAATAGGTGTGTAGAATTACTAAGGTTTGGAGCGTATAAATATACTAGCAGCACAACATTGAGATATACCCTCCGCACGGCCTACAAATCCCGTCAACAAATTTTTTACCTCTAATTTTTTTTAAAAAATGATCAGGAACCTCTAAAAAGTCGAAAATGAATTTTGAGCGGCTGGTAGTAACGTTGTGTACAAATTGCATCTGAATCCGAGTGGTACTTCTCAAGTTATAGGAGGTTATAGGTTAAGCGGACAGACAGATAGGCAAACAGACAGAAATTTACACAGACAGACAGATAGAGAGGCAGACGGAAATAAATGAAATGGAAAACCATGATGTCATATAACACCCAAAACACATAATATCTTATTTTCGAAAATTTTGGCGACAAAAGCACTTCTCCGCTAGTACGCATAGGAAGTGTAAATGGGCTTTACCTTGAAGTGGTTTTGAAGATCAAGGTCAAGGGCAAATCCAATGTCACCATCAGATATCCGGTACAAAATCCCGTACCTAAGACCAAATAGGATTTGTTTTGGGCTTATGGTTGTCGTTCTGGTCTTTTTTGAACATCGTAAATTTCATGCGCGCACAGTAGCTGGCGATTACCATTGAAAACACAACATTTCCCTATTAGCTCACTATTTGAATTTAACTCCCTTGGAAAGTTTTACGGTGTTGCTGTATGTAACCTTAATTCCCGAAACGATGAGTTCCGGGATGCGGTCATTACCGGACATAACTTTTCGGAGGCTGCCTCATCAGAACTGTGATTAAGGCCTTTACATATGCGGGGATGTGTTTTAAATTGTTCATTACCGCTACAAAGTGCACTTCAAAGGGTCGCTGTGGGCTTACTGGCACACCCTTTTATTCTTTTCTTCCCGTGCTTCCTGTGCTAAAAAACGTAGGAAGAGGGTGCATTTAGTGAACAATCACGCAAAATATACTCAATTATATATATATATATATATATATATATATATATATATATATATATATATATATATATATATATAACAAAAAGTAGGAAAATAATGGGCAAAAGAAATATTTTTGTAGATCCTTTGGGCTTTAAGTACCACAGCAAGTGGCTATAACCGGCCGCGTGGTTGTGGTTTGATGTCTCCTTGAAATTCGAGGTCTTTTATACTACAGTGTGTAGTTTTTTCCTCTCCATCTTCGTTTCCTCAGGCTACACCCGTATCCGGATGTGTGGGCATGTGTATCCACTTTTGTAGTTTCATATGTGCATTCATTTCGGGCCTGATGAAGCCAACCAGCAGAAGTACACGTATCGCTCGGGATACCTATCCTATTTTCTGCTCGAATCCACTTTCCTCCTTTTTGCGGATTTTGCCCATTATTTTCCTACGTTTTGTTATATACCTTTCTCCGCACGATCATTTTCCTTTTTTTCATATATACAAGGTGTAAACGTTATGATAGTCATTATTCAAATTGCTGATAGAGGGGGTTAAAGGAAGCAAAAGTTTCAAATAACGTGGGGGTCAAAACGGCATTTCCTTAGAGAAAGCGACTTTAAAGTAAAATAAATCTGACAACGCCGCAAAACTATGCAAAAGGATAACTAACCACTGTTACCATTTGCGATCGATTGCCGGTTCAATAAGAGTGATGATGACCGACGCGCTGTTGTGAAGTGTGTTTTAAGTATTCAATTTAATGAAACTTACTTTCTTACCGACTACAAATTTTGGCTTAACTTAGAAAAACTCAATTCCATTTATTTGTTAATTACCCAATTTGAAAACGTTTTACATTAGATTATAATAATTAGTAAGATTGTGGTGATTGTGGTCAAAACACTAAAAGTTGTAAACTATAAAGCCATTTAGACAAAAATCTATTGACTTTTGGACCATGGGTCATATGAACTATTACCCATTTCAATAATGACTACCATTACGTTTACGTATATACTCAAATACTCGCGGGGTAAAATTAGAGCTCAAGGTGGTGATAGCACAAAAAATAGTTTAATGTTTAAAAATAGAGATGTGGTATATTAACTATACTACATTACTGGGTGTCGCAATTACGGGGATTGTTGAGTAATATCAAATACATAGAATTACCTTGCCGCTCCAATGCTTCAAAAGCCCGTGGGCTGAGCAGGGCGTTGAAAACATATTGATATCGCACGCTTTCCCACCCTGACATAGATGTTTATAAAATTGGGCTTAAAAAGTTAGTCACTGCTCGAAAAAAGTTCTAAACTCTGAATAGAAACGATTTTAAAATAGTATATCGTAGATAGTTATAACCAATTAATTGTCTGCTGTTGATCCAGTACTATACAAATTTTATTTTTGTTCAACTGTCGAACTATTTGGTCAAATTATTTAAAAGCTTACAACGGATAGTCTCCACATGGAATGCATGCTTTTTAAATTTTTGAAATTGTTATTCGGAGATATACTGCACCTGCACTGTGCCGCAGTACGGTACCAAAGGTCAATCGTGAACACCCTATTCAGGGTGATTCGATGAGCAGTGGCAATATTTCTAGCAGATAAAATAAAATGGTCCTTTATCGAGTTATTTTAATTTTTTATGCCACTGATGAAACTGCACAAGGACAGATGAATATTGTACAAATAGCACTATGATGTCATATCCTCCTTATACTCATATATTGCATATAATTTTCAATATCACTGTATTTGAGAGAGAAAGGTATTGGAGTGCTTTAAAGGAATTTTATCTCGCAAAATTAAATGCCTTATTCAAAAGGCGTTGATGTTAAAAGAATGAGTGACGCAGATAATAATGTTCTTTTTTTTTCTTTTGCTGAGATCAGTAAATGTGCCAATTTAGATAAAACTGGTGTAGCCTGGACCATGAAAACCTTTGTGTCTATTGATCACAGTATCGCATCCACATAAGGAAGCATTTTGTGATCCATACTTATATGAACTTTCCCTTTTGCTTTTGGACTTATTTTCTTTCCTAGAAATACTGCTAGAGTTTCCATAATTATCTATTTCGTAAGCCACCTTTACGTTTTTGAAACTAAAAGAAACCCTGTGCTCTGTCGACATCTAATCCGTACGAGTTTCAAGAAATGGAAGTGTTCACTTCACACATCTATATTTTTCAAAATGATATTTACAGTAGATGAGATCAGTTCGGCACACAGCTAAGCAGTATCATATTAATATATATATATATATATATATATATATATAAAGACTATATTTGACAGCTACTGAAACTTCTTGTAGGAACTAGCTGGTATTCTAAAATCTAAATCAGATTTTGAGCATGAAGCTTAAAGAATGCGTACTTGAAGAAATCAATGTAAATTGAATAGTTAGAGCAGAAAACACAACTATTAGAAATCATACCGGGCATTTCCCGTTTGTCGATATTAATATAAAGGTGAAAAAAAAACGGCAAAGCTTTACAGGTTTTGAAAATCGATCGCTACTTACGGTAGAGCTACTTGTAAAGAACTGAAGAAATACAAATTGCTGAAGCTTCGTTTTCTAGGTTTAACAAAGTTCTGCTAATTTTTTGATTTTTTTGTGGGGTGAAATATTAGAGACGGGGGTTTGCAGGAGGCGGGTGAGAGTAAACCTCAATTTTTGGCCTTGATATAATTATATGCGCTCCTATTAGACATATGTTATTTCACACAGATATTTCCTCGTATATTTGAATGTAAACCAGTTGCTAGCTAGACGAAGCCACTGGCGGATTACTAATCGCAACTCTGCACGCAGCGTTGTCGGATAGTCATAGAGCAGAGGAGAAATCTTCAGACCACAACGTTGACAAAAGAGTAGGGACCGAAGAAGAGTCCATTTGACTGACTTGATCCGTTTATTTCCTTTAGTATACATGTTCGTAGTAAGCTTAGTTCGAGAGGAGTTAACCTGTGCCGAAAATTTTTTATTAGCAAAAGTTTTTTACACCTGCCAATGGTACTTTGCTATATTGTTTTAAAATGAGTTTGTTGGTGGTGACCTAGCAAGAAAATAAAAAATACAACACTTCGGTTTTCAAGTTCTTTGAGTTTTCAAAATCTCCAACCTCAATCTTTGAATGTTCTGATCATTTTGAAATACCGTCAAAAATTTTCCTCTGACATTTTTTTAATTGCAAATCTCAGAAGACATAGGTACTCATAGTATCTCTGATTACAATTCGAACAACTAATCAGTGCGACACGTTCGTAATTTCGATCCGAAATATCTCAGGAACATTTTCTGTTAAAAAATCGCATCTATGAAAAAGATCGGGAGGTGCCTTAGAATATATTCAAGACTTGTTTTTGCTTGAAATATTAATTTAAGGAGAGGACCATTTTTCAGACATAGATCAGACATATAATTGATGCGGCCCTTCAGTTACTTCGGATTCTTGGGATTGATGCGGTCTTCCAACAGCCACTACCTCAATATTTGGAGTGATAAAAGGAATAGTGTTCTCGAAAATTCCTATTACTTCGTCCACAGTTTTAATGAATACCACAGTAGAACGTCAAAAATTACCTGATTTGTACTATTCTTTCCACCAGCAACATCACACGTCAGCAATGACTGGCCACAGTAGTGCAATTCCAACCAAAACTCCGGGATGGCTGCTGCGGGACTTCCGGCCGCAGGTGGACACACGACTTCGGGAAACTCCAAAATTGCGGCCACCGGTCTCTCGGGGTAAGTTTCGATGTGTTCTGGAGTCAATGAAAGTTGAGGCATTGGCCATCGGACGTCCAGGCTGCGAGTGATCATCTCTTCTGAGGAGGAGTCGTTTGGGTCGATAGTAGGTGTCGAGTTTATTGAACCTGTAATGACAAATGGCATAAAATAGGTTGACTCTACACTTTCGCGGCAACGCTGTTATCAGTGAAACATTATGTTCGGCACAGTCAGCCACTGGTAGAAAAAAATAAATTTGAATTCTGCGATATTGCTACATGTCATTTTAAATCAAAAATTTACAGGAAAGTTCATATCTAAAATATGTACAATAGGTGCGTAAAACTACCAGGGAGTATAAATATACTAATATCTAGAACTGACAATATACCCTACCCACGTCATGGAGCTCCCACTCCTAATTTTTTACCCCGCACTAAAGTTTACTAAAGTGAACAGGGATTTCAAAATCTCCAAGAAACGAAGTTTAAGCGATTCTTTCTTTGTTTTTTGCATGTAATCTCACCAACACTGGACTGTTCTTGACATAGTAGTAATCAAGTGTGAAAATTGCAGTGGGCAGACCACTAGACAAAAAGACAGGCAGGTAGACCGACTGAAATGAGTGACATGGTTTTTCATGATGTCATAAAACAAAATATCTCGTCTCCGAAATTATACATCCTCGCCAGATTACTTTACGTTAAGCCTAAGAACGAGGAACCACAAATACATGATACGAGTTGCGAAGTTGAATGGTACTAAGAAAATGCTTGTCTGGTAATCATTATCTTTACCCTTCAAGTAAAGAGGCGGCTGTTTCCGATGTATAAAGCGAAACGAGTTAGAACGAGAAGCAGGAGACTGGCCAATCCGTCTAGCAGCCATGTATCTAGCAGCACCACCACGGAATAGAACCTTAGATCGCCTGTCGTGGAAGTCTTGGCGATCAGCCGGATCATGCCTCTCTAAGCCCAGCAGTACAGCTATACGACTAGTAATCCGGGACCATTTGTACAGAGCAAAGAAGGCTAGATGGTGAAAGTTTTCTATTTTTTAACGAATACTCAAACTCTTTCTCTGCAGCTGCTGGGCTGACAAGACACAGAAGTGTGACTTCAATAATTTGAACAATCTAGAACGAATGGCTTGCCGGCAAATGTCGGCCATCTAACAAAATTGGCTATGAGCCCGTAATAGTTGAGATATAATACGGTTTATTATAAATGCACCACTGGCCCCGGACAGAGATAGCTTCCAAGGCTTTGTCAGAAACGAAGGCGCTCTTCCATTTAGTTCTCAGCAGGGCTATGTTCGTGCATTGTTACAAATTGTACCTTGTACTACTCTGTAACAATTTTAGCTTTCATACTTGTTTGATTTACCTGTTCCATGCGTTCGGAAATAGAACGTAATCATTCTGGAGCTTCAAAAGTGCCCTTTTCTTCCCGTGCACAAAGCCTTGGGAATAAAAGTGTTGCCCGTTGTCATTCATGTCGAGCTACCTCATATCCATAGGGTTTCTTATAATAATTACAATGGTCGCAGAAAACGTGATTAGAAGTTAGTCGACCATCATCGAGTGTCACTAAATGACTCTGTGATAATTTAGGCGTTCTGAAAATAAAGTTTCACAGTATTCCAGAGTAAAATTTCATCAGTCAATCTACACTATGGACGGTATTACATTACAGTACAACCTAGTACAACCATTGTACCTTACCGAGAGCTGCATGTGTCGTTCCCTCATTCTATTTGCCAAGCTTTTCGCTAGAGAAAAAGTCGTGGTTTAATCTGCTTCCCCCAGCAGGTCAGCTCTTAGAAATGAGAAGGTAGAATGGCTAGTGGAAAATGAGTGTGGTCCAGTTACTCAGGGAACTGTGTCATTCTACGTTTGTTTCATAGGAAAGACGCCACCGCGTCACTATCTTCCTTATTAGCAGGAAAAATGGTGTGAGAGCCTCGTCATCCTTCATAAGTATTATATTTAAAGTCGAACTATATTTTGTAATAAAACATTTACATAATATACTCTGAAGCTTCAGATAAAGCTAATCAGAAGCTTTCACTTTCTAAGATCCATTACATTGGGCTTGAAGTTCAAATAATGTATTTAGCTGGCATGCGTAGACCGCTCAAAATGATCATGCTGTTGCTCAAATGTTCTCCTTTTTGTTATTTTTTTGGTATATCTATAGTAGTGTTGGTATTTTTACGGTTTTTGGCTGTTATTTATTTATATATATATATCGTGCGAAATAGGTAACGAGGAACACAAACTGTACCACGTGCAAACTCGTCTAGGCGAACCAATTTCAAATCTTCTTTTGCATTTGAATCGATTAATAAAAGACCAATCAATTTGAATTTTGTCCACAAGTTGTATTTTGAGGGTTTGCTATATTTCAAAGTACGAATAGCTATAAGCAAAATTGCACGCCTGTTGCAAGTAGGTTGTCACACTGGCCCACTGATTGTGAAAAGCATAAATAGGGAATCACCCACAGGGTGGTAGTGGCGAGAAAATTTGCGAGACGACGAGAAACTAAGGAACGTACGTCTTTGAGCTCATGCAAAATGCATATGTACGTATGAAAAAGATGGATGTGTGAAAAAGATGATAATACCGGTACCTTTACAGTGGCCTACCAAAAACCGTGAAGTAGAAGAAGAGCTATAGTATATATATATATTTAGTTTAGTTCATACGATGTCGTTAGTTGTTAATCTATTTAATGATGCTTTCATAACATCCTCCTTCAGATGTATCGATAAAAGTAGTTCAGTGCGAAAGTAGTTTAAAGGGTTGGCATAGACACCCATGCTACGTTTTGCTTGTACAGTCTTACCATTCTTTGTATAAAATAAAATTTGCTACAAGAAATGTATTTTACGTCTTTTCGACACCTTGACGATTCTTGGAGTATAACGAGTGAAGGCTGGAAATGTGTATCAAAACAGCCAAGCTTCGCTCCTGTTACCCTTCTCATGTACTCCTTTACGACAAACTAACTTACTTGTATCTTCCAAATAACACGATTAACGATTTGACGTATTTGAAACAATGCTCATTAATACATGGTATACAGGCGTAAGAACACATACGTCGCTCAGTGATATATGCCGAGTCCCGAATAGATTTTGAAGTTTGTGGCGTATCTACAAATCAGCTTTATTAGCATTGCGGCTGCATGATACATAATCTCAAAATATTGGTTTACACTTGGTTGTATTGTTTTGATGTTTGTGTTGATCTGTAAGTAAATAAGTGTTTTTTTAAATGGATGTACTTGTGTTGTGGAGCACGAAAAACGTTCGAGAGACTTGAAGACACATAAAAGTAAGTGAATTAGGCTTAGACCTGCAGTGAAAGTCCTGTATGAAAACCAGTTACATACGGACAAGGTTATAGCGACAGAAAAGCAGGACAAAATTATACCGATAGAAAAGCTAAATGAATCATACGTATCTGAGGACGAGATACCACGGTCGAGGTATAAAGACAAGTACTGTGATGCACATGAATCCGAATCCGATGTTGGCAGACCAGTGGCTCGTTTCAGAGATTTTCTGCAAATACCAAATAAATACAACGACGATGCCATATCATATCAAGTGAATTTCATTTTACCACAAAATGGTGACGAGATAGGTGGGAATGAAGATGCAGAATACGACTCTGATGCTGATCCTCCTTTTGGCATGTGCAAAGTAAAGTTATGTAAAGAGGAAATATTTTCTGCCTGTCCTCGATGTGAAATCTTAATTTGCTTTTCACACCTACGATATAACAAGTTGTCATGATCACGGAAAGCCAAAGGATACTAGCAGTTGCTACACTGCTATTACCAGAATGCTTCGAGCTAGACGGGCCAGGAAGCGAGGAAGCTATAGCGAGAAGAATTAGAACAAATAAAAAGAAAATTGCAAAGCTACGAAGGAGTCTTCAAATGTATAATGACCTCGTGGCATTGTGCAGTGGATGCTAACTCTATAGTTAAAGAGACCTAATTTAAAACTTATTGTAGGAACCTACATGATGGTGAAAAATAAATTTTTATTTCATTACATTAACCCAGCACCGTTAAAGATGTTTTAGTTTACTGATTTCTGATTGTCAGATCCGATTCATTAGAAAAACTACCTTGCATGCAATGAGTACCCTTAATTAAATCGTGAACCCTGTATCTTGTCCTCCATCTATACCATTGATTCCCAAAGTGGTCTATATCGACCCCTAGGGGTCTATGACAACCTGCAAGGGGCCTACGTCAGCGAAAAAAATTTGGGGGTCCATGAAATGAATATGGGGGTCCACGATAGTGGATCTTAACACATACACTGATAGTACCTATTTACTTCCATCATATTATCTTATAATATCAAAACATATACGTTATTTATAAAAGTACCTATGAAGTAAAAAATTTATTATATATGTTTATAAAATTGTATAAGTTGTAGGATGTTGGTATTAGCTTTGTGGTCGCAATACATTTTGAACTTGTAAAAACCTGAGAGTCGCAATCTCAGAGCTTCGCTACCTTGCACTGACTTGTTCAATTCGTCACTCTATAAATACGAATGTGGGACAAATACTTTTATTCGTTTCCTGAATCTTGAAAAGGAAAGTGCTAAGAAAATATTTAAAAAATATAAACAGATAGTATATCATACAAATTATAGTGAGTCAGTGTTATTTTGTTTGAGAGTGCTGGAGGAAAGTACATTATTTTTTATTAAATTTTAGTTTTGTACTCGTAGTTAGCAAAGATAGATAAATTACGCCAATCATGACTTTAGTTATTAGTAGTTAAATATTCAAGCATGCAAAATTACACGAGTACCCCTCAATAGCTTGTTTTTGAAAGTTTTAGCAATCGGTAATATAATGACAGTGCAATCTCCGTAATTCGAGCTATTTGTTGAAAGAAGATGTTCGAATTATGGAATGTTTTCGGAAAAATCAAAAAATATTTTTAATATACAGCTGCTGGATTTTCTGTCTTATTTAAATAATTTAATTTTGTCCACATATGACTGATGCCATGTCCGAATCTAAAAAGAAATGTAGACAGTACAGTGTTGACTATTTGAAATTTGGCTTCATTCCATCATTGCCGGACAAACAATCGCCTATGTGCCT